AAAAAAAAAAAAAAGAAAAGAAATAAGGGACTTTTAACAGCATAATTAAAATAGTTATAAGGCCAGGGATTTAGCTTAGTGGTTCCAGCACCTGCCTCACAAGGACAAGGTCCCGAGTTTGATCCCTGATACCAAAAACAATAGTTACAATAATTTTATAAGTACATCAACTTTTAAACTTTTAGCTTCCATATTAGCAGATGAATCTAGTACTTTTCTGCTGACTTTCCCTTTAAGAATACTATCTTCAGGGCCAGGGATTTAGCTCAGTGGTATGGCTGCCTGCTGCACAAGTGCAAGGACCCAAGTTCGATCACCAGTACCAAAAAAAAAAAAAGAATACTATCTTCGCACCAAATTTGAGCCAAAAATTTCTTTAGCTTTTGTGAAATATATACTACTGCGTCAGGACCTTGTTAACTCCTCTAGTATTTTATACTTGTAAATTAGGGAAGGGCTAGCATCAGATAGACATTCCCGGTGATGCCATAGAATTCTGGAGGCAATCTTGCTCATGTATCATAACCAGATTCGGATTTAGTGCCTTTGCACTTATTTGGTATCTTTAAGATATATCAGGGTGTATATGTTAGCAATTATATGGACTTCGGAAGGAAAAAGGGAGTTTTTCATTATGTGAAATGATACTTAAATTTTGTCTGTTTCCTTTATAACCTTACATTTTTCATACCAAGACCATGAACATTTCAGAAAGTTATTTCTGTCTAACCTAGTGCTTCATAGGCTTTAGTGGACTTTAAAATCATCCAAAAGGCTTATTAAAACACAGATTTCTAGGCTCTTCTCCCAGATCTTCTGATTCAGAAGGTATGGGGTGGGCCTGATAATTTGCATTCCTGCAAGGGCCTAGATGCTATTGCTGCTGCTGCTGATCTGGGAGCATACTTTGAAGACCATTGATCTAACTCATTAGTAAGATTTAGAAATTGTACAGAAAAGAGGGAGAGCCCCTCTGCCACTCCTTAGTTCTTATGCAGGCTTTCTGGTTAGATCTAGGAATCAACTGAGTATAAGAGCTAATTAGAGAAAAGCATGTAAGTTTTATTAATTTTATATACACATGGGAATCTTCATCAGAGAGTAAAGTCCAAAGAAATGACGAAAACATGATGCTTGTATATTTTTTAGACAAAGAACAAATTTGTGAAGTATGAAAGGACAAATGGATATCTTGACTAGGGGAATAAATTCTAGGGAAAGTACTAAAAGTATGTTAGGGATTGGGGAAGGATTGTTGAATCCCTTCTAGTGGAAACTAATGGAAGATAAGTTTTGCTTCAAAGAATTTACTTATTCAGATTCATAGCAGCCCCAATTACCAGTCCCTGGTGATCAAAGCTATTTTTTGGCCTTAGTGTATAAAGGATATCCCTCCCAAAAGAACCTGTATGATTTTCTGTGGGTAAGAAAAGACAGGCCAAATGGCTTCTTCTGAAGTTACAGTTCCTCAAATGATTTCAGCTTGAAATAATCAATATACCAATTTTGCTTATTTTAAGATGGTATATCCTTAACTCTTTCATAATAGAATTAGGCAGATCTTAATTCTATAAAGACATGTGAATATTACCTATTGTAATTTTTATGAAGTGTAATATTTTAATATGTTTTGATATGACTTTAAGTTACTAATCTGTATTTAATGTCAAAAAAAAAATTTTCCCTCTTTCGGTAACATTTTGACTATTTTTATTGTTATTTCTTTGCCCTTCTCTCCCCATGTGTTAAGACCTTGTTTTTGTGTTGCATGTTACAGAAATCTTTCAGTGTTTCCTCTCAGCCCGTGAAGTAGCTCGTAGCCGCGACCGAGATAGAATGAACAGTGAGGCAGGGTCTGGGGCTCGAGTTGATGATCCACCTCCTCAGTCTCAGCAAGAGCGAAGGGTCAGCACAGACCTACCTGAGGGTCAGGATGTGTACACAGCTGCCTGCAACTCTGTGATCCACCGTTGTGCCCTGTTAATATTAGGAGTGAGTCCTGTGATCGATGAACTCCAGAAGCGGAGGGAAGAAGGACAGTTGCAGCAGCCTTCTACAAGTGCCTCTGAAGGGGGTGGACTTATGACCAGGTGGGACTGACTAGAAGCTTAAAACCTTACTCACTTCCCTTTGTTCCTCTATACTTTGAAGTGGTTTATTCTCAAAGTTACCTTGCTCCTCTTAAATTAACAAAGGCAGGGAAGAGGAAATACACACGGACTAGGATGAATTTGCAGTGACAGTGGTACTTCATGTGAACAACGTCATTTAAAAACATATGAAGTTATGTGCATCTCTGTCATTCAGTAGCATGCAAATTATTTTGATTTAATTGAAAAAGGCTTTGTGCTTAGATAAGAATAAGGATTTTCTTTCAATACATGTAGTTATTTCTCATTGTACGTGTGTATTATCTTTATGCTACTCTTTCCATTCAATTTTATGTTCACTAACAGTCCAAAATCAAAAACATCCTTTTCTCTGTGCATGTGAGACAGGAGTGAAAGCCTTACTGCAGAGAGCCGGCTAGTCCACGCAAGTCCAAATTATAGACTGATCAAATCGAGGAGTGAATCTGACTTGTCTCAGCCTGAATCAGATGAAGAGGGTTACACACTGGTAGGTATACCCAGATTTAGTAAAGAAGGGTTTTTGTTTTCAGGGTGTTGGATGTATAAGGCTCTGGTTACAATAACTTTTGTCTCTCTTGTCTGGAAGGATTTGCTTTAGTGTATAAAAATAAATACTTTATAAAAAAGTAAATTAGGTGAATGAATTAGGGTCTAAACAAAAGCTGAGAAAGGAAAACAAAGCCGTGGGTAAGATTTGCACATCCCTCATAGATGCTGTGGTGTTCTGCTAGAGGTGGGGCCTAGCGGACAGGAAAGGTGTCGTCTTGTATGCCCCACAACATCTAAAAGATAAAAAACAACCCAGTTGTTAATGAGAAACAAATATTTCTGATTTTGAGCCCTGAGATTAATTTCTTATATGTACAAAAGTACTATGTGATAAAAAAAAGTTTGTTTTCTTTTTCTTTCTTTTTTAGTGCTAAGGATTGAACCCAGGGCCTTGCCTATGCTAGGCAAGCACTCTACTACTGAGCTATATCCCCAGCCAAAACAAAAAAAAAATTTTTTTAGTGACACAGTGATTTCTTCAGGAGCTATTAACTGAGTTATTTGGCTTATTCATAAAATGAGAATATGCTTATTTCTGTTTATGTATGTGTGAATAGGAGGGTAATAAGACAGAATGTCTACATGTGGGTACATCTATCTATATGTGTGCAGATTTTCTACAGTGGTATTTCCCAAATGCATTTATTTTGTCATTTCTGCAGTCATACCACTTTGATACCAGCTTTTCTGATTGTGTGCACGAGTACAATTAAAATTGCTAAGAACATACTGTCAAATTTATAAACAAGTCATACATTGTTTATATGTGGTTGGCTATACATATGGGGAGAATGAACAGTGTTTGACACCTTCTACTACCAGATACATAGAGAAATATACTTGTGTTCCTGAAAGCCTTGACTGTTTTATTAATTGGCATGTGTGCATTTCACCAATTTGAAATTTCTCTTATTTTAACAAGTTTAAAAAAACTTTTAAAATATTACAGTATGGTCAGGATTATGTTATTTTTATGTTAGTGTGGATTCATCGTATTATCTTCTCTAAACACCTAGCAAAGGATAGTACAAGTTTTGAAAAGAAGAGAAAGTAAAGATAGAGGAAAGAGTAGTAGTTTTGGCAAATGGAACTTTGCTGCAAGGGCCTTAGGGATCTAGAGCGTATTAAGCAATAGATTATACTATGAAGAGGAAAGACAAAGTTTCTAAAGAAGAAAAGGTAACAGCAAAAGAAAAGCTTTTGCAACTTTACTGTGATAACTAATGCTCACCTTGACATTTTTGCTTGAGTTAGTATCTCAGAAATTACGTGCTTACTCTTCTTATAGCTGTTTTCAGTGTGTATTTAGAGACATTTTATTCTTAGTTTGACTTGATTGGTGACTAAGTATGGATTGCTTTCATTATGTATTATTAAATTATTCTAATACTTTATTAAGTTTTAAAGTACTTTTCATGACTAAATTTTATTTACTTTTTATTTTTAATAGAGTGGCAGACGAAATGTTGATTTGGATTTGGCATCATCTCATAAAAAGAGAGGTAAGTATTAAGAAAATATTAAATATCTGGTTAAATTAGGTAGCTGTTTTTACCTGATATATCTGATTGTTATTGAAATGCAGTTACCAAAATAGTTTACAATTATTTTATCAGAAGTATACAAAGCAAGACCATTTTCTTTTTTAAAAAAAATGTATGTGTGTGGGGGTGTGTGTGTATAATCTGGGAATATTTAGGAGTTAGTAATCATTATTTCTCATTTTTAAAGTTTTCTTGTAAAAATGCACTTTTTAAAACCTCTGTGGAATTCCAGAAATAGTGCATTCCAGTGATTTTCCATGTTTTCATTCACTAATGAAGTTGCTATAGTTTAGAGAGTATCACAGGGAGGACATCTCTTTGATAATTCACCTACAATACATGTATCTTCAAAGTTTCTAGGATTTTTTTCCCCTTTTGGTCTCTTAGTATGAAGCATGTAATAGATGAACTGATGATTTAAAAAAAAATTTTCCATGAGGAACAACTTTATTGTATTATCAAGAGATTTTTTTATTTTTGGTACCAGGGATTGAACTTGGGACCTTGTGCTTGCGAGGCAGGCGGCGGAACCATTGAGCTAAATCCCTGGCCCTATCAAGAGTCTTTTGTTAGAAGCTCTGTTGTAATAAATGATATAGTTAATTTACACCTACCAATAGAAAAGAATAATAACTAATAGAAATCCATAGAAAACTAAAAACTCTCATAAGTATTCTTTATTAACTAGTACTTTTATTTAAAACCATTTATACTGTGGTTGTAAAAATGTGAAATGTCTGTGTCTGCCTGGCAAGTGCAAGGTCCTGAGTTTGATCCCTGGTACTGAAAAAAGCAAAGATGCGAAATGTTAAAAATCGCCAGTAGTAGCCATTTACTAAAGGGTTATGAAGGAAAAAGTTCCATGATATTAAATCTTTTATATTTCATAATAAAACCCTTCCTTGATAACCTCCTTGGGAAAATGTTAGAGATTATAATGTATCCAAGCTGCTTGATTTCTTAAAAAGCTTACAAAAGTATTTGTGATCAAAGAAATTAAATAATGTCAATATAATGTACAATATGATATTATTTTATAATTCTTTGACAATTGACAATTCACTTGATTTAGGAATTATATTAAATTTTGAAACAGATTTACTTTCCTAATTTTGTTTAGCTCAGGTGAATATTGTGTGAAAAGTTCCATGTTATATTAATAAATGCATATCACTTAGTTTTAGAGAGCAAGTGGCTGCAGACTTACTGAATAGCATGAGATCCAACCTATAGTTTTAAGAGCTTCCCACCATAATACTGGTATCTATACATGTAAATGATAGTGCTTTGGCTAAATTTATTCTTTCCTTCTAAATCTTCTAAATAGTGCTTATGGAAATATAAATTTGAGACTTTATCCCTGTTAACAGTATTGGCATGTGGCAATAAAGCAAAGTGCCATCATTGTCTTTTGAATTAATAGTTACCTACAGTTTAAATGTGAATTACTTAAGAGGAATAGGTATAATGTTTTAAAGTTACTGTCATAAATTGGGTGTAGTTTTATGGTTCTGTAGTTCCAGTTACTTGGGAGACTGAGGTGAGAGAATCGCTTTGAGCCCATGAATTTGAGACCAGCCTGAGCAACATACTAAGACCTCATCTTAACAAAATAAAAAAACAAAAGAAAATGTTAATATCCTAGAGTTGCTTCCTATTTATGCTTTTAAATAATTATCTTAAAAACTATAATTTAATTTCCTCAATTTTAGTTCTGAATAGATAGAAATATATTAAGCCATTAATCTGAATTTTGTTTGTAGACAAACCATTTTCAAAAACTTCAAGATAGTAACTTATTGAAATTTACTTTGTTAAAAGCAAAAAATGAAATAGAGGACCTCATGGAAAAAAATGTTTTTGTCTTTTGACTACTCATTTAGAAATTACAATAGGGGAGGCAAACTAGTTATAAAAATTTTTGTCTGTCACTTACAGTGGTATTGTAATAATCATCCCATTATAACACTCCCTGGGAAAATTATTGATGATGATTTTGTTCCTAGGGACAGATGACTAGAAAGTAGAAGGGTTATTATTTTAGGAAGATTAGCAAAAGTAGATACTTTTCAATCTCATAGAATCCTAGTGTATAGATTAAATAATGAATATGCACATTATAGCTTTTATCTTATAATGGATGTCTTTAAGAAAGCTAACACTGAAAATATATTTAGAAGGTTATATTTTGAAAGGAATTCTTTACAGTCTTAAATATTTTGACCACACAGTTATTTTTATTTATTTTGTTTTACTTTTAAAATAGTGGTAAGATCGTGCTCGGTTTGGCAGCACGTAAAATGGTTAAGATAAAAATAAAATAATGGTAAGATAAACCATTCCATTTTCCCCTTACTTACTGTTAGTATGGATCAAATGTCTTCAATTGGGTAGATGAACCTGGCAAGTATGAGAAGTGTTTAGTGCCAGCCTGGTGGGTATTCTGATTCTCACTTAAGCCATGAAGGACAAACAGATGTCTGGCCAAGTGAGAATGCTCCTGTGTGCTTGTTACTCCCTTTCAATATTTTGAGGAGGAAATGTAAGAATTTTTTATGTATGTAGCGTTGTAATTATTAGTCTCAGAGGTCCTGATATACAAAAAGCCTGATAAGAAAGGATAAGAGAAAAATAACCAGGTTTAACTATATCCTGTCTGCTGAAATTAAATGGGGGTATAAATGACAATTAATGATTAAATACATGTTTTCACCTGCTCTTGTCACGCTCCAAAGACCTCTTCCTGAAAGAACTTACTGCCTATAATTTCAGTATTTGGCACCAGGGATACTAAGATTCGTGCTATTGAACAGTGATGACTCATTTTTCTCCTCTCATTGAGCTAACGTTTCATAGTTGGTCTAACCTCTTGGTCTAAGAAAGCCAATATTGTAGGAAGGGGAAGAGCAGTGTCAGCACATACATATAGCTTGACTATCTTGCTCAGAGGTATCAGGCTCCTATAGTGCCAGCTACTGGGGAAGCCGAAGTAGGAGAATCACTTGAGGCCATGAGTTTGAGGCCAGCATGGGCAGCAGCAAGAGCTTGTGTTGTGGGGGTAGGGGCACATATTTCTTCTGCTTACCATCTCAGAGACAATATGAAATTTATATTTATTAAAGACTTAAAAGCTACTTTCTATATATCAGGTGTAATTCTAAGCACTTTATAAATATGAATTTATTTAATTATCATAAGAGCCTATCAGAATCTTTGACAAAACTTGGCACAATATGTTGGTATTTTAGTACTTTTACAAATACTTAAAAGATTTGTTATAGTTATACAGGATCAACTTGCTTTTTCAGAGAAAGACTACACCTTTTTGCAGATGCTTGATTTTAGTTTTCATTTTTTTTGTGTGTGTGTGGTACCAGGAATTGAACTTAAGACCTTGTTCTTACAAGGCAGACGCTGCACCACTGAGCTAACTCCCCGGGCCTAGTTTTCATATTTAAATGGAAGCTGTTATAGTGAAAAGTGATGGGATATCAAAGTAACAATGTACGAAGCAGTATCAGGAATCTTACTAGTTAAAATATGATTTGACCCTCTCAGTGGTTAAACATGGTACTAAGGTTTTATTGCTAAAATAGTAGTGGAAATATTTATAAACATGAGTTTCATGGTATAACGTGTATGGGTAAAATGCTGTTTTATCTGTTCATTTCAAATTAAATTATATAAAGAAGGGCAAATGTAAATGTTGTCTCCTGTATCAAATTTCTTCTTTTGTCTTCTGATTTTTGTGTGGTAGTGTATTTACTTCTTTTTGGCCAGTTGAGCCCCAGAAAAAAGAAGAGCTTCAAGCAAGTACATGATGGCATGTTTAATTTTTTTCCCCTTTTAGCTTGCCTACATATTTTATGATTTGTAAAGTATGTATTGCAGCTCTGCCATGTTCATTTTGAAAATTCCATTTAAGAACCAAAGTTGTAAGGACAAGTAAACAATCTCAAAAATTTCTTGTTGGACTTTATATTTTCTTCATGTAGTAAGTGACTCTGAATTAATATTAAATAAAAATTGGGCTTAATCTCAATTATTATGTAGAAGCTTTTGATATGCTTTTCAGATATATTTACTCAGATAAAATAACAAAACAAAGACAGTAGATTGTTATAATTTCTTTTAAAGATTAAAACTCTTCTCCCATTCTCGTACTTTCAAGTCTTGTACTTCAGAGTATTTTTGATGTCAGACTAAATATTTTGGTGAAAATTACTTTCTTTATCTTAATGCTTTCATATGCTGTCTTTCCTGTTCTTTCTTACAGTTTACTCATACAAAGTTTTGCTTGAGTCATGCACCTCATAAATTTCATCCTTTAAATTAAGGGCTAGCAAACTATGGCTGGAAGGCCACCCTAGCCTCCCACCTGTTTTTTGGGGGGCGGGTTTTGGCACCAGGGATCAAACTCAGGACCTTGCGCTTGCAAGGCAGGCGGCGGAACCACTGAACTAAATCCCCGGCCCTCCCACCTGTTTTTATAAATCAGGAATACAGCCATATTCATTTGTTTATATATTTTTGTGACTTTTACACTACAATGGAATTGATTAGCTGTGACAGAGATCTTGTGAGCAAAAAAGCCTAAAAAGTTACTGTCTAACCCTTCACAGGAAAAGTTTGCTGCTTCTGCTTTAAATTGTAGAGAGGACTGACTTAGGACAGTGTCTAGCTATTTCATAGAATGTTTTGCTGTATATGAAGGTAGTTCACTATTGGTTGATTGACTCTTTATGTGGCCAAGTAGTTGGAATTTCCATGGAATAATGAATTGTGAGTTGATTAAGAATAGGATATATGTGACTACCTCCAGTAGAATTAAGAAATTAGTGTGAATTTGGCAGGTCAATTTATTTGAGCCATTGTTTCTTCACTTGAGGAAATTGGACGAGGTGATCCCTAAGTTCTCCTCCATGATTCTAATATTAGCTCACTGCACATTTTTTGGTTTTGAAATGTAGCTTATAAGCATTGGAAAACAAGGCACCTCTTATTCTGAAATTTTGATATTGAATAAAATAAGCTCAACACAAACACTATCATTGTAAGTTAAGGCTAAATATAGCTTCTGAATTCGAGGTGCTTAAGGGAATGAAAAATAAATATTTCTCTTTATCATTAGTCCCTGCTTTATTTTAAAAATATTTTTAATTTAATACAATGTGCATCTGTGACACTGTTGTTTGGATCTTTATTATTTTCTATGTTATGAAAGACTGTTCAGCTATTTGTACAATTTGGGAAGATTTTTCAGATTGGTTGTTATTTTTCATTTCAGTAAAACTAAAAACATTTTTAATCTTAATAATTCTTGCTAAAACATGGAAGGCAGTTAAACTTTATGTTTTTTTGCCAGTCTAAATTATTTGTTAGTATGTAATACCAAATAGTATATAATGTTCATAATATTATCTTCGTGATATGAATTTTTGTGGCTCATTTTGAAATCCAAAGATTTAACTGACACCTATGTGGTAATTAATAAATAAGATTATACATTCAATATTGTGTTCAGATGTTTTTTCTGTGGACATTAGTGTTTAGTTATTTTTCCAAACTTTTCTATCTAGCAATGTTACAAATAACAATTTTTCTCATACATACTTGGTTGGATACCTTAAAATGCATTTCTAATAAGTTTAGTATATTCATATGATACCATATTATACAGCAGTCAAACAAATGAACCATGGTTACATATAGTCATTTGGATGAGTGTTAGCAATTTATATTGAATGAAAAGAGAATGTCCAAAGAGATTATACAAATTGGAACTCATTTTGAAAGCTAAAAACAACTAAAACATTATTCATCTTAGGTGTGTATATATATATATATATAAAACAAAATCCATCAGCAATAAAAGCAGGAGAATAATAAACCTAGGCTTCAGGATAATAAAACCTTAGTTAGAGAAGATAGGAAGAGATGGGTTGGAGGAGAAACAAATAGCTATAAGTTACTGTCAGTTTTCTACCTATTACATTCACAAGTATCATAAATAAATACATAAATACAAAAGTGGGCCATGCATGGACCACTGATGAGAACTAAGGATTATATTTAATCAAATTCATATACCTGAGGTCAATTAAATTAAAAGCAAAGTTGTACAAAAATTGGACATGTATATTTATATGTTTATTTAAAACTTATCTTGGCATGTAACTTGGACAGTTGTTCTTATACTCAAACATGATAACATTTTGATGTTTAATACAAAGATTTTAGCTTTAAAAATACCCACTGGTAAAGCTATTGTTAGTATATTTATGGTACCATTTGGTAATTTTATAAACAGTTAATCTCATATGTTCTTGCTTGGTGAAACTGCTTCCTTTATATAGGAGTTTCACAACCTGCAGTATATATACACATGACAGTCAGTAAGTATTTTTTATATTAATGAAACCCAAAGGGTAATATTTATGTCTTCTTTTCTGTGTAAGTTTACTTGCCCTTCTATATTCACTTTTTGGTAATGTTTCATTGTAGATCTATAGACATTATGTGCAGATGTGCAGTTGTAACTTACCTTTTACAATGATTATGTTAAATTAGATGAAATTCTGTTTCAAGTAGGTCTTGTTAGTAAGGTCCTAAGTGGCTAGTTCCTTTTTGTTCATGATGATCTGGTTTAATACTGCAGAGCCTTTTAAGTTCAGCATTTTGAGAGCAGCTTCTGCCTTTTTTTTTTCTTTTCTTGTGGCAGCGTGTTGCTAAAGCGCTTACAGAGGCATTAGTACATGAACAGGGCTTTCCTTTTATTTTCATACATTGCTCTAGTTTTTGTTTATTTTCTTTTTTTTTTTTTAAACCAAAGCATTTTGCTCAGATTCACTTAATGTATGCATGCATTTAAACATGAGTATCCATTTCTCACCAGTTGGTATGATAGTGCTCAGCCCTCATCTAGTTTCAGAATATATGCTCTACTCAACTGCTATTGACATGTTTGTTCTGTTTGTGTATAGGTCCTATGCATAGTCAATTGGAATCCCTGAGTGACTCTTGGGTCCACCTGAAACATAGCAGAGACTGGTTATACAACTCTTCTTACTCCTTTGAGTCTGATTTTGACCTCACCCAGTCTTTGGGAGTTCACACTTTGATTGAAAATGTTGTAAGCTTTGTGAGTGGAGATGTGGGGAATACTCCAGGCTTTAAAGAGCCCGAGGAAAGTATGTCTACAAGTCCCCAGGCTTCCATCATTGCAATGGAACAGCAGCAGTTAAGAGCAGAAGTAAGTGTTTGATGTTTATTCCCCATGAGAGACTCTGGAATCACCAAATGTACAATGCTTGGAAAAGCTTTTCTTTTTCTTTCATTCTTTGTCTCTTCCTTTCACCCACCCGAGCATTTTGACATTCTTTCTTGACTAACGTAGTGTGGTGTTTTGTTTGAACTGGACAATAGTATTTTTAAAAATTGTCACTTATTTGAATAAGAAACTCTAATCATAAACCTTTCTTTGTCTCCTGGAAACTAGGATCAATTGGCTGGTGGTGATTGGGATCTGCCTCTCAGAGCCTCCACCTTTGACCCATTTGTCCCATTTTAAATTAGACCTTTAGATCAGATTAGAATCCCACATTAATAGTTGCTGCAGGTAGGACTCACTGATGAGTGGTAAAATTGGTGAGCAAAACCTGAAGGAGCCATAGGATATTTGCATAGCCATCAAGTACCCTCCCTCAAATATTTATTGATTACAGTGGTTTTACCATGTCCAAAAATGACTTAATATTCTTCCTTCCAATAGATAGAGATTAATTTCCCTCCCTTTGATGGGCTGGACTTAGTGACCAGCTTTGAACAGAGTATAGGAAGGGAAAAAATAGTAACTTCTCATTGTAGAAACCTGGCAGATACCACCTTAACTAAATAATCAAGATTCACATCTTCAGTAATATGTCAAGTTGATATCATGCACTGTTGATATAATGGCAACATTTTAACTCAGTGGCATTCTTCCCCTACATTTGTAATTCCACTCTATGAGAAAAAAAAATTAGGCAAACCTAAAATTAGGGTTCTTCTATAAGACTCAAGAGCAGTAGTTTCAACATGTGGAAATCATGAGAAAAAGGAAAGATTGGTACACCATCACAGACTAATGGATCCTGGAATCAAAAAGGGACATTATGGAAAAGCTGTGAGATCTAAATAATATCTATGGTTTAGTTAGTATTGTTGTACCAATGTTAATTTCTTAGTTTTGGTAAATTTACTGTGGTTGTAGAAGGGAAGTCTAAATGAAGGATATACAGGAACTCTCTGTACCATCTTTATAACTGTTTGTAAATGTAACATTATTTAAAAAAAATTTTTTTAAGAAGAATAGACTGATCTACTATGATGGTAGATTGTCTGTAGTGGATTGGGTAGATAGAGGCAGAAGTTCAAGAGAGCCACAGAGAAACAATTCAGAATTACTTCTAATTTTGAGCTTTAAAAGACTCATTCTAGGGGAGCCTAGTGCAAGACAGAAATTTCAGCACTCAGGGGGCTGAGACAGGAGGACTGCAAGTTCAAGTCCAGCCTAGGCAACTTAGCAATTTAGTGAGACCCTGTCTCAAAATTAAAAAAAAAAAAAGGCTGGGGATGTAGCTCAGGGCAAAGGGCTTGGGTTCAGTCACCACTACTGCCCCCACCGAGAGAATATTCATTCTGTATGATCTCATTATTGCTTCTTATACTACCTTATAGCTTTGAAATGTGCATCTATATCTCCCATGAGCTTCACAAGAGCTCTGTGAGTAGGTTAAATAAGTTACTGTCAGTCTCATTTGTACTTGACGAAACTGGTTCTCAAGAAGTTAACTGACTTCAAAGACCAAAGATACAGCCTTCACACCACATCTTCATCCAAATCTTCTTTAAGGGCCAGAGTTATAGCTCAGTAGTAGAGCACATGCTTAAATTAACATGGGCAAAGCCCTGGGTTCAGTCCCCAGCACCCAAAACAAATCTAAATCTGCTGCTTTTCCCATTGTACTGTGTAGCTTTTTAAAATACTGAAGTGTGCTTATAGAGTTTTTCGAGCTATCTTGATATAAAAAAATAGTAATAATAAAAAATAATAGCAGAATAGGTTACTAGGAAATGTCGGAATTTTTTTGTGCTAAATAATAGATTGTGGTGTATGGGATTCTTTTATACCTGAGTTCAATGAAGAACTCTAAAATATGTTTTTCTCCTCAAGCTTCGTTTGGAGGCACTTCACCAGATCCTGGTTCTGTTGTCTGGGATGGAGGAAAAAGGTAGCCTCTCCTTGGCAGGAAGCAGATCTAGTTCCGGCTTTCATTCGTCCACCTTGCTCACATCTGTGAGACTGCAGTTCCTAGCGGGATGTTTTGGTTTAGGCACTGTTGGACACTTAGGAACCAAAGGAGAGAGTGGCCGGTTGCATCACTATCAGGTAGGTAACACCTTGCAGTATACGCACATTTTAACTGTCTTTTTTTTTTTTTTTGGTACTGGGGATCGAACTTGGGACCTTGCGCTTGCTTGCAAGGCAGATACCGGAACCACTGAGCCAAATCCCCAGCCCTTAACTGTCTTTGTATGATAAAGACATTGTCATAATATGAAACTGTAGTGTTTGTGATTAAGGTTTAAAAATGTAAAGATTTCAAAATAACCTTTTAAAGGTATCTCATTGATTAAGCTTCTTAACTAGTGTAGCTAGTATTAGATGAGCCACAATACTGTTGTACTTTTTTGGTTCAGTTTTATTAACCCTTAGCCAGATTAGACAGACCTAGATCTAAATTGAGATAGAGATTAGAGTTTGGAAAGTGTTTACATTTTTAGATTTGATTATGTTACCTAGTTCTTCTGATTCTTTTTATAATTTTTTTTAAATGCTACTTGTATATCATAGTCCTAGGAAATACTGCTTTATGAAGAAGAAGGATTTTACAGTTAGGAATTATCAACCATTTAAAATAGGTTTATTCACCAACAGAGCTAAGAGACAACCTACAATGTGGGAAAAAAAAATTTTTAGCAACTGTACCTCAGACAAAGGACTACTATCTAGAATATATAAAGAACTGAAAAAAAATCAGACCCCCCCCCCCAAATTTAAAGACCCAATTCAAAAATGGACATCTGAAATGAACAGACATTTCTCAGACAAAGAAGTAAAAGCAGCAAATAAACATATGAAAAAATGCTCAACATCACTGGTCATTCAAGAGATGCAGATGAAAACAAGAGTGAGATTCCACCTCACCCCAGAAAGAATGGCTGCTATCAAGAAATCAACCAATAACAAATGCTGGCGGGGTTGTGGGGAGAAAGGAACCCTTTTCTGTTGTTGGTGGGAGTGCAGACTGGTGCAACCACTGTGGAAATCAGTATGGAGACACCTCAAAGAACTAGGACTAGAGGTCCCATTTGACCCAGCTATTCCCCTGCTGGGTATCTTCCCCAAAGAATTCAAAGAATCATACCACAGCAATATATGTGCACCCATGTTTATAGCGGCACAGTTTATAACAATATAAGCTTGGAAATAGCCCAAGTGCCCATCAACTGGAAACTGGATAAAGAAAATGTGTTTTTTTTTAAATAAAATGGGAGTACTACTCAGCCATAAAGAATGAGAAACTAGAGACATTTATAGCTAAATGGATGCATATTGAGGCCATACTCTTAAGTGAAGTAAATAGGATACACATGTGTAAATACCAAATAGTTTCTCTAGTGTGAGAAACTGAAAGTGCAAATAAGGACTAAAATGATGAAAATGAATAATTGATAATTTGAAATAGGAAGAAAAGGTCCAAAGGGATAGGGAAGTGGGAGGGGAAGGGGAAAGAAAAGAAGGGAAAGGAAAAATTATGAGAAAAGGAAAAAATGGAAAGAAAGACTTTGTAAATAGGGAAGGGGGGGAAGGGAGCACAGGTAATGGGGAAAAAATAAGAACCAAGTACATCATGTACAGGTACAAGCACCCAGTGATAAATGTAAACGTATTCTATACCTAAAACGTATCAATAAAAGAATTTAAGCAAAAAAAAAAGTAGGTTTATTATTAACCTTTCATATACTGAGAGATAATAAATAAAAACTACCCTTGTACCCTAGAATAGACTAGGGATAAAATGTTATTACTTCTTTTGCAAAGAGGTATTATTATTGATAATAGAAGTTGTAATCTATATGTAATTCAGGATGGGATCAGAGCAGCTAAGAGAAGCATTCAGATTGAAATCCAAGTGGCTGTGCACAAGATTTACCAACAGTTGTCTGCTACTCTGGAGAGAGCCCTGCAAGCAAATAAACATCACATTGGTGAGTCATTGTCCTTGGAAATGCAAGATGCAGGATGCATTTTGCCTGAAGGTATGGTAGGTAATTATGTTCTGTGTTTCATGCTTAATAGCTGGAGACTGAAATTAAAGAATAAATATTCCATATTACTCTTTATGTTTTGGGAAAAATTTAGTAAATGCTGTTTAAAGAATATTCTCACTCATCTCTCTCTCTCTTTTTTAATAGAAGCCCAGCAACGTCTCCTTTTGGTTACGGTTTTTGCCCTGAGTGTTCATTATCAACCAGTGGATGTTTCTTTGGCAATTTCCACTGGTCTTCTAAATGTCCTGTCACAGTTATGTGGCACAGACACTATGTTAGGACAGCCCTTGCAATTGCTGCCAAAGACTGGCGTTTCCCAGCTGAGCACAGCATTGAAAGTGGCCAGTACCAGGTTGCTGCAGATTTTAGCTATCACTACAGGGTAAGTGTCATAAATGTCTTGGTAGAACTATCCTGGGCCTGGTCTTGCCACACTTTCCACAATGTTTGCCCTTCTGTGTTCCTACCACTTAAAAAATTCCTTTTATCTCACATAGGACTTATGCTGATAAACTGAGCCCCAAGGTAGTTCAATCCTTGTTGGATCTACTCTGTAGTCAGCTGAAGAACTTGTTATCTCAAACTGGTGTACTACTTATGGCCTCTTTTGGAGAAGGGGAAGGAGAAGAGGGCGAAGAAGAAGAAAAAAAAGTTGACTCTAGTGAAGAAACTGAGAAGAAAGACTTCAGAGGTACCATAGGCCTTTTTCTCTGTCATTACCTAGAGATATTTACTGCATCCTCATTGAGTGTGGTAAAAATGTAGACTTCTTTCCATTGTAAGACATGAAAGGGTTTTTGTCTGTTCATTTACAAGCCACTTTTCTTTGAGCTGTGTATGATTTAGACAAGGTGACTGAACCTCCTCTGATTAAAGTCTGTTTATCCTGAGACTGCAACTGAGCTGCACATTCTCAAGGTTCAGCCTAGCCTCTCTTTGGCTGTCCAGCTCTAGGACACAGATTTTAGGTGACTGACTTCCTCTAGGTTATGTCTTGCCTAGGGGAAGGCTCAGATTGTTTCTTAGTATTTGGTCCTGATGAACCATTTCTAACCACAGTCCTGGCCTAAAGGGTCCCTGGAGCCTAGGAGTTTTGATGTTTAGGAAGTGGATGATAGAGGAGCTTGACTTCCCCCTAGGCTGTTCTGTTCCGTGCTAAGGATAGAACTCTGCATTATATTTAGCCTCATGCTTTTTGGTTTGCTGAGACAGCATTTTCTCATGGCTTTATGGTGAACACTGTTCTCCATAGAATTTATACCCTGATGGCAGAACTACTACATACATCTTTTATATAATTAAGGGAAGAGAAGTCTAAAGTTGGTCACTTACTTAAAAAAGATTGTGATCCTGACATATCTCATTGCCATAATAACTTTGGGAACCCTTAAAGTCCTTTCTGGATTAGATGGATTGATAAAGCAAAAAAGCAAGTTACTTAGTCATTCTGTGCTCCAATTCCATCATGTGTAAATATAAGGATAATGATAGAACCAACCTCCAAAGATGATTGTGAGGATTAAATACCTCAATACATTAAAGCCTGTAGAGAAGTGTCTGGCACATAGTAAAAGCTCAGTGAACGGTCATATTGAATATTACAATGAATAATACTAAAAGTTAAATGAAGATACTGCTTAAATCATATTAGTATTATTGTTAACTTATGGGTAGATAGTGGAAATATCCTGGGGATACAAAATAATAAAAGGATTGTTTTGCCCTCATGAACTTGTAGAGCAGTGAGGGAGGCAGACATGCAAAAAGATAATTGCAGTATAACAGAAGAAGCTCAGAAGAAATATCTAAGTCTCTTAAGTCTAAATGTAGAAGGTCATAGGAATCTAACTAAGGACTAACTAGCTTTCCATTTGAGAGGCTAAACCAGTGGCAAGTTCCTTTTCCCTCTATATGTTTAGAGGAGGGTCCTTCCACAAAGACACCCAAGGTCTGATAAAGTAAAAACAATGTTTTCTGCCACCTCCTGCTTCCCTGAGGTCCAGTGGGGACAAAGTGTTGTTAAGAGACTACGTTCTCACCAGTGGACGGACCACAGAGGAGAGGTTGTAGAGTCACTTTTTAGTCTTGAGAGCCTCAAGAAAGCTGGCTCTTTCCTTGTCCAGTAAATGAAAGCCAGTTCTGTGACTGAGTCTTGGCTTTGTAATAGCAGTCTCTGTGTCCACGGCATCCCCCTCTAGTTGTCCTGTGGAGACAGCCATTGGGTCCTCTCCATTGCATGGAGATAGCTAGGAATGAGATTCACTCTAGTCAGCAGTGATCAGGCATTCAGAGGCAGGCTGCCAGGTATTAGTAACCCCTAATCCTTCTGAAATACTTAATTAAAAAGAAGGTTTGTCTTCCATTTGAAACGTAGCAATGATGCTGAAACACAAACGGCATAATCAAATTTTATCAACCAGCTTTATATTTAGGGCCTCTAGGCTTTAAATAATTTAATTAATTTAGTGGGTTTTTTTTCCAGAAATTACTTGCTGGGGGTGGGAAGTAGAATGAAGACCTCATAAAAATGATTTTCCCAGGGAGGCTCTACCAAGAGAGAAGGCTTCATGGAAGAAATAGGTTTTAAACTGGATCTTAAAGGAGTATGTGGGGGCAAGCTTGGAGTGAAATACATGCATTTACATGGCAGGCTAAATGCTTTTATATTCTTCCAACTTTTAACATAAAAACAGTTTGCTTGGGCTGGGGATTTAGCTCAGTGGTTTCACCGGCTGCTGCGCAAACGCAAAGACCCGAGTTTGATCCCTGGTACCAAAAAAACCCCCCAAAACACACAACTATTTGCTTAGCGTGTAAGTAAAGAAGAGGGAGAGTTCTGTGTGGAAGAAATGTGGAGGAGGAGGAGATCTCAGTTGTTTTTCCTGTAGTTGACCTCAGCAGTTTAGTCATGTCGTAGACTTACACACCCATATCTGGGTGGTGTTAGCTGGATGCACCTTCATGTCAAGGTAGGTTGTTGGCCTTGTGCTGTCACTGTAGCATACCCCTAATGGGAGTCTCTCCTCTATCACAAGTGATTTGTCTATGTGTTTATTAATTCAGCATGCCAGAATCTTTCTGAAAGAGTACTGAATGTACTTGCTCCATATTGTTACAGTTTTCCATTTTTTAATTGTCCTCTAGGGACTGAATTCTGAGCAGCTGGCCCAGTGGCACAGTTCTGGTTGAGGACGTGTTAAAGGGGTTATATGACAGGGAAGAGGGTGTACTACAGGAAGAGCAGGTAGTTTTCTGAATCTGTGAGAGTGGGAAAAGGAAGACGGTGGTGTAGATGCTGGTGGAGAAAAAGAATGGTGTTAACACAACAGATCGTATATAGAGAGATTACCCTCTGGCAAACCACACTCATGCCTAGAAATCTGGGGACTATTTGTGTTTTGTAGAATCTGAGAAGACAGAATATCTTTCAGAGATGTTGGAGTTGGGGGTCATGGAAGTTTTTGAAAGTATGTAAAAGGGTGTGAACTTTCTTCCTATTCAAATACATACACATAAACACTTTTCATACACTTTTAGAGGATCCATAGACCATCCTAAAAATTCTGTCCATTAGAACTCTAGACTTGGGTAAGGAACCATTGCTTTTTAGAGCAGTAGCTTAAAAAAAAAAAATCAAGTACACATACACATTCTACCTTGTTCACTCTAATTGTGTACAACGTAAAAGACGTTTCATTTGGCTTTAAGCTTTCAAAAGTTAGTAGCTTACTGAAAACCTAGCTTGTGAACAAGATTTGTGCTCATTGCAATACAAACATAAGCTCTGTGAGGTAAGACTGTTTCCTTTTGGTTTAATGTAAACTTGTCTCTTCGCTTTTCAGCTGCTCTTAGGAAACAACATGCAGCCGAACTCCATCTCGGGGATTTTTTAGTTTTTCTTCGCAGAGTTGTGTCTTCAAAAGCAATTCAATCAAAAATGGCTTCCCCAAAGTGGACAGAGGTGCTTCTAAATATAGCATCTCAGAAGTGTTCCTCAGGTATATGTCCTTTGCCTTTGTTGTAGAGTTTTTTCATATATCGTATTCATTTTATTAAGATACAGTACTGCTAGACTTTAACAAATTGGACATTTGACCTTGATTTCAAGTTTTTTTTTCTTCTTTTCAGAATACATATTTGATCAAAAGAAAATTCCAATTTCAGATGTAACAACTAATAGAGGATTAATAATAGAAAGTGGTACTGCTGGGCTTGGTGGCACATACCAATAATCCATCTAGGAGGCTGAGGCAGGAGGATTGCAAGTTTGAACCCAGCCTGGGCAACTAACTTAGTGACTTAGCAAGACCCTCTCTTAAAAAGAGGGGCGGGGACAAAGAAATAGGTCGGTTGAAGGCCCTGAGGTCATTCCATAGTGCTGCTGCCAAAAAAAAGAAAAGCACTGGAAGAGATTGTGGGATTAGAGAATTTGACCCTATTTGTTTAGATTATGACACATACTAAAAATAAATGGAGAACATTCTGTTTAATATGATAATTTGGCACAGGTTTTCTGGCCTCCCTTCTTGGATTGTGATGATACAGATTTGAATTGGCCCATTCCTTTTTTATCATGATGTGATTTAAGTTGCCTTGTGAGTGCTGATTGTGTGCTATCTGTGACAGTTCTCTGTAGTAAGCCTAATTTCTGGCTCTTAGCTTTAAAGTCTGGTCTGTTTACATAGATTATACAGTCCTTTCCTAGTCTGCTTTTTAAATTTTTGATAAAATATGAGCAATATAAAACTTATAATTTTGATCATGTAAGTGTACAATTCAATGCCATCAAGCATATTCACAATATTGTACAACTATCCATTTCCAGAACTTTTTCATCATCCCTAGTATGTTTTAAAATTGCTAGTATGAAATATGTTTCATATTATGTGTTTTTTTATATTTACATTTTCAATATACTTCAGCATTTTTTCTGTAGTATAATTTACAATAGCTTTTTATTTCATTTAATAAAGTGAGGCTTATATTAAATTCTTAAGCACAAAGAAAACCCAGATATTTATTTTCAACTGGTTTTGTTGTAATTATATGTAGAGAAAAGGAACATGTATTTATGCATCAGTATTCTATGTCTACCTTTGCTAACTCTAGGAAAGTATAAACTGCTTATTCCTCAGGAACCCCAACAGTCTTTGTAGAGCAGTCAGGTCGTGGACTAGAGAGAAGTGACTAGTGAGAAGGTGTAAATAAGCATGAGCTTTAGGGATTCACAGGCCTGTTTAAAATTCTACCTCTCCTGAGCTGTGTGGCTGTGGTCAGATGATGAACTACTCTGAGCCACACCCTTCTTAGTAAAATGGGGCCATAAAATCAGAGTCTGGGAGGATTAATGGAGTTAATGCAGGTAAAATGGATAGTACAGTACCTGGCACGGGTAGTTATTTTAGTGGGAAATGAAAATTGAGGCATAAACTGGTTATTTATACGTGCATTTAATGGGTGTAGGTTGGATCCAGCACTCATGTGATAATGGGTTGAAAAGTCTTTCCACTCATAAATACTCAACAGCCTCAGGATTTGTTTTTCAAGAAGTTCATTTTAACTTTGAATTTATATCACAATGATAAGAAAATGTCTTTTTACCCCACTAGGTATTCCTCTAGTTGGTAATTTAAGAACAAGGCTCCTTGCACTTCATGTCCTTGAAGCTGTGCTTCCGGCTTGTGAATCTGGTGTGGAAGATGACCAAATGGCCCAGGTTTCTATTTTTAAAGTTACTAGAAGACTTTTTTTCCATTTCTGCATTCTGATTCACCCAGAATCTAAACTTGTATATAATTTATTCAGTTATAAATGTGTCATTTATTCAATAGCAAACTTCCACTTTTAAGTCTAATTTCTTTATTTTTTTTCTCAAGGAAGGAGGAATAAGTTAGGAGGTTTGAGAAGAAGAGAGGTAGAGAATACTTGCAAAGTCAGAAGGAAAGGACAGTCTGTAGAATTTCTTATGAGATTTGGGGCTCTCAGAAGAGAAATATGTGAGGTTATACAGCCTAATCAGAGGCCCGTAAGTAGTAAGGCAACATATGAGCAATGGAACCCACTTTCTAGTTGTCTTTCTAAAAAAAAAAAAAAAGTAACAGAACCAAAGTAGCTGTTGGATATTGGTATATTTCTGTGTGATCACACTTCATGTGTGATTTAATAGTACATGATACATCTTTTTTTACAATACTTAAAATTTTTCTTTTAGTTACATGTTACGTCTTTTCTTAAAATACTTAAAATTCTACTTTATAAATTTCATTGTCTTTTTTCCTCCAATAAATCAGGTTGTGGAACGCTTATTTTCCCTTCTATCAGATTGTATGTGGGAGACTCCCATTGCTCAGGCCAAACATGCTATTCAGATAAAGGAAAAAGAACAAGAAATAAAATTACAGGTAAATGATTCTTCCGAAACAGTGTTTTTAGACAGCACAAGGGAATGTCCTGTCACTGTCTCTGGGTGCTATGTCCTCTAGAGGACTTTGCTGTATCAGTCACTCCATTTCTTCTTCTACATTCTGACTTCTTCTCCACTGGTTTCTTCCCTCTCAGGTTAGACCCATGCTTATCTCTCATTTCTAGCCTCACAAATCACATTTTTATCAACGAATCCCTGTATGTCCTCTCTCTTACTTGTCACTACTAAACTGTTCAGAGGAATAATCTATACCTCAGCCACTTTCTTCTCATTGTATCTTCAACCCAACTGTCTTACCTTCTGTAGAGATACCGGAATTAAATTTCAAAGATAAGTGCTAATTGCTGAATACAGTGTAAAGGGAATTGGTTTCAGGATCTCCCAAGAGTGCAAAAATCAGTGGATGCTCAAATTCCTTATAAAAGATGGTATAGTGTTTGCATGTTAACTAAGCATATCCTCTCATGTATTTAAGTCATCTCTAGATTATTTCTAATACTGAATATAGTATAAATAGTTATTATAGAGCATTTTTCAGAGAATAATGACAAGAAAAAAGTCTGTATATGTTCAATATAGTTGGAGATTTAAAAAAAAAACTCTTTTCCAGCTGGGTATGGTGATATAACACCTGTAGTGTGAGCTACTTGAGAGCATGAGACCTTTGTCTCGGAAACAATTTTTATTTTCAATCTGTGGCTGATTGAATCTGCAGATGCAGAACCCAGGATATAGAAGGCCTACTGCCTGCTTTATGGTCCACATTTTACTTGACTCTGGAAATGTGAGCTTTCTGTTTTCAGTGCAACACTTTTCCTGGATCTCTGCATATTCTGCCAATCCTTGATTCTCTTTGGAAGTAACTGTTATTTGGTGCCACTTTCACCTTCTCAACATTTCAAAATATTGATATTCCTTAAAAATTTTTTCTTAGCTTTCCTAGCAGCTTTGTTCCTATCCATGACCATATTCACCTACATGCAGTGCCTTCCAAACTTAAATGTTACCCTAATTGTCTCCCCCTCAAAACGTTCCCCTTTTCTTCCTGTCCTACTTCTGGGTAATGATACCCCTATTCCTCTTGTTTTCTAAACCTCAATTCCTGGGACTTCTAGATTCTCTTAATTTCTCCATACATCTAGCCACTAGGCTCCATTGATTTTATCTCCCAAATTGCTCTTGAATACACACATCTAAATTCTTCTTTTAGATTTTGTTATTCTGTATTTTTTCCTGGTTTTCCTTCTACCTCACTAGAAAGGCTTCCTATTCTCCTTTATTGATTTTTCTTTTTCAATATAATTGTATTGTAGGAAAATCACAAGACCTAATCCCATTACCGTTTCTTTTTCTTCAGCCATCACTCTCATTCCTTTTTCTGTACCCAAAGAAACTTTATTCAGGCCCATATGCCATTAATCCTCAAATTTTACTTAAAATTTTGGCATTTTTCCTGAATTCTAGACTACTCGGTATGTAAAAAAATAGCATCTTTAGTTCCATCACATCCTATTCCTTCTGGTTTTCCCAGCCTCCTAGCTACTCAGGCACAAAAACCTAGGAGTCATTTTTGATCCTCTCCTTGTTATCCCTGTCTTCTTGTCTCCATCTGTACAACCTCTAGCTCTTTTGTTGGCCCCTCTTTATAATAAAACTTAAATTTGCCCACCTCCTTATCTCTTCTGTAGTTACCCTATTTCAGACCACCGTTGAGATTACAACAACAGTACCGAGTTAGTTTATATCTCAACTTCCATTGCTTCCCTCTATAGTCCATTCTCTGCACAGGATCCAAAGTAATCTTTTAAAATTGTTAATCACAGAAAATTGATTTCCTGCTTAAAACCCTCCAGTGGTTTTGTTTTGTTTTGTTATTCTTGGGATAAAATCTAGAACTCCTTGTTTTCTGCTTTTGCTCACTGTATCCTGAACACTTTTCTTCTTCCTTGCTTTCCTCCCTCCCTCCTTCCTCTCCCCGCTTCACACTGAGATACATCCCTTAGCCCTTTTTGTTTTTTATTTTGAGACATGGTCTTGCTAAATTGCCCAGGATCGACTCAAACTTGGAATCCTCTTGCCTCAGCCTCCCGAGTAACTCTGATCACAGGCATGCACAGCACACCTGGCACCTTGTTCCTTTTTCATGAACACACTAAGTTTCTTCCTCCTTAGGGGTTTAAGCTGCATATTCCCTCTGGATAAGTTTCAAAAACGTAATATCATGTAGTCACAGCTTCATTATCACTTCTTCAGAGAGTCCTTCCCCAGTCAGTCTAGAGTAGATGTCACATAACCTTTGTCATATCACCTGTTTTAACTTTGACATGGTACTTACTACCTATGTTTTCTTATTTTTTGTCTCCCTCTTCCAAAGTATAAGTTATGTGAGAATAGAGATCTTATTTATCTTTATACCCTGCTGAATATAGAAGTCATGATAGGGTTCCTGGCACAGAGTAGAGGTGTAATAAATGTTCATTGAATTAATGAATTTAAACCCTCACTACTTATTACCACCCTTCTTGTAGCAATCTCCAGATTAGTCTGTCTGGCTTCATTCTTCAGGCCCCTCTTAAAATGTTTATAAAGAACAGATCTGACTACCTGTGTATCAGTCATCTGTATAGGCATTCCTTAGTCTATAAAGTTTAAACTTAATATGGTATACAAGGCCTTCCATGATTTTGTGTTGTCTCTTTTTTTCTCAGCTTGTTTTTTTGCCATTCTCCTCTATACTGTTTGCAATGATTTTAAGTCACCGAATTCTGTTGTACTTTCATGCCTTGGCACATGCTGTGCACCTTAGGTGCCTTTCTCTTCTGTGACCATGTACTTAATGTCTTCTCATCATTCAAGAGTCAATTTGGAAGTTACTCTCTTCTGAATGTTTACCTGGTCCTTCTCAAGCACACTTAAGACACATACTTTTTATGTTTCTTCTATACTTATCACGTAACTTCTGTTGTTCTTGTGCTGCAATACTGATACTGTTTGTCTTTGTCCTCTAATTAGAATATAAGATCATTTATGGGCAGGATCCAAGCTCTGTTTGGTGTTGTGCCCCCACTGCCTTATACAATAACTGTTACTTGGTAGCTAATTAATAAATGTTTGTGGCATTAAACCAAGGAGCCTTGAGATATATTAGACACCTGGTTTCCTCCAAAATACTGACCCAGCTTCCTTTCTGGTAGAAGCAAGGAGAGTTGGAGGAAGAAGATGAGAACCTTCCTATACAAGAAGTATCTTTTGACCCAGAGAAAGCTCAGTGTTGCTTAGTGGAGAATGGACAGGTTTTAACTCATGGCAGTGGAGGAAAAGGATATGGATTAGCATCAACTGGAGTAACTTCTGGGTGCTATCAGTGGAAGGTATGTGGAATTCTAAATAGTGGTTAGCGTTTTGTCTTTTGAGGTTCTTATAAGAAAAAAAAATATGGAAAGACTTAAATCATATGTAAGCGATGTGGTATTATTATGTAAAGTGTTGTAAGCAGAAACTGAGTGAAGGATATTACTAACTCTGTACTGCTTTTGTAACTCTTTTCTAACTCTGTAATTATCTTACAATTTTAAAAAAGTGATTTAAAAAACTGTGGTTTGTCCTCACAAAGAGCCGCACAGCACATCTCTCCCCTAGTAGTGAAAATGCATTCACATCTCTGTGATCTTTTTGCCTGAGAAAGGCTGTTAGCATTTTATCTCCCAAGCATCCAAAGGTGCTTTATCGTGTAGTTACTCTCTCTCTGCCATCAACTAAAAATATAGATGGCCAGAAGGAAAGCGTGTAGATAATCCATATTGTTTGTACCATCTAGGCATAATGAGCCAGCCTTCTTAGCTGGGGAGATATTTATCAATGTAGGGAACCATTTTTTACCAGTTGAGTTTCCCAATGCCAGCCAGGGGCCAAGATTGCAAACAGTTGTTTCTAAGGATAACAGTGCCTGTGCCTTTTCTGTGCAGTGTACCTCATTGATTCTTGGCCACCAGATCCTCATAGTAAAACTGTTAATAGGACCCTCTCCCCGCAGGCAGCAGGTGAGAGCAACTGTAGTATTCACCCTAGTTATGCCTTTTAGGAGTCTCAGACTTAGTCAGTTACAACACGTCATAAACCATTAAGATCTATCTTTAAAAGCCACGTGGCTTTATTTTTAAGTTTTTTAAAATTAACTTTTAAAGCCTAACTTAGGCATTGATTTAACACAGCACAGCCCTGGCCAGTCTCATGCAGAAGTAATATCATTATACTGTGCACACACAAGAACTATACTCCCACAGGACATATGTAGCCTCCCTGGAAACTAGGAGTATATAATTGTTAGGGCATCACTTATCAGGACATATAATAATCAGGTAATACAAGTTAACGTGGCCCCAGTTGGCCTGCCACTATCCTCTGAATAATTTACTTGAGTCACTGGATTCATAGGGATTGTCTGAATGCAGTTTGAAAGGATTTTGTTGTCTTTGATGTCAGTTTGATATCTAGAGTATGGATGACATCTGGCAGTGTTTTGTGGAAAATTCAGGAGCAGGTGAGAGGCCTATAATCAAAAATCATCACTATATTGTTGCAAATTGTAACTAATCCAGAACGTGAAATACAATAGCAGTGAGACATTACCAAAAGGTAGATGAGAGTTTCGCAAGAGTGGATAGTGAGATATTGCTTCATGTAGTTTCCTATTGTTTAACCTTTAGTTTTCAGTAGGAGTCATAAGTTAGATATGTAATCAATCTCAGTATCTGAAGTATATAGCCAGTCAACAGTTTAAATTTAGATGATTCCATCCGAAAAGAAGCCCTTTCCCATGAGCATCTGCAAGAAACCAGTCTAGCCAGTATCCATCATGTTTTCATAGTTTATGGCCCCACAGAAGAGTATCCTAAATCAGCGGCCCCCAAATTTGTGTTCATTGAATCTCTGCCTACTTTTAATTAGCACAGTCACTAGTGGGCTGAAACAGCCCATGGCAGATGGTATCAGATTTTTTTTTTGGTACCGGGGATCAAACTCAGGACCTTGCACTTGCGAGACAGGCATGGCGCCATTGAGCTAAATCCCTGGCCCTCAGATTTTAATTTAGAATCTAAGCAATTAGAATTATGAGTTCAGGATTCCAAAAAGCCAGCAGGTTTTTTTTGGGGGGGGCAACAGTAAGGCCTAGATGCCTGTGTGGTTAAGTCCAGATGACCAGCAAGACTTCCCCAAGGAAGCTTTTTTTTGTTTGTCATTCTCAAAGTTCAAACTGACCCACTCAAAAATGTGCACTTAAGGCAGGATGATCACTGGCCTCTGTGTCGGATATCTGATTTTATAAAAAAATTACTCCAACTGAAAACTGCTTTATAAAACTCTAAAAGTGTTGGCCTGGGGATTTAGCTCAGTGGCGGCACGGCTGTCTAGCAAGCCCAAGGCCCTGAGTTCGATCCCCAGTACTGGAAAAAAAAAACAAAAACAGAAAACCTCTAAAAGTATATCTGTATATCATTGTCTGGAGCTTGTCTCTTTTTAAATTTTATCTTTCTTTTTCTGAGGCTCCAATAAGAAGAGTCATAGCAAAAGTATCACCAATTATGGACATATGTTTTGTTTTCAGTAATCCGCCCACTAGTGGCAAAAAGCAAGGAAGTTGTGTACCACTAACCCAGTGATGGATGAACCTTTTAGAGACACAGTGCCCACACTGCAACCCAAAACCCACTTATTTATCTCAAAGTGCCAACACTGCTATTAAACTTGAATACTGAGGTTTTAGCTTAGAAAAAACAATTGTTATCCGTTACTGTTAACAATTGTTAGCTCAGCTGCTGGGGCGACTTGGCTCACATACCGACAGAGAGGGCTCTGTGTATCCACTGCAACACGTGTACCATAGGTTCACCACGATTGCAGGCCCGTTTTTCTTCTTCAGCTTTCTATGGTCAGGGTTGCTCTTGGCTTTATGAAGTTAAAAAGCTATGTAACCTTTTATATCTGATTTTTAATTATACATCCAGATATAAAAATCACAAAACAAAGTTGTTTTAAATTTGTTTTTTCCTTTCTCTCCCCTCAGATCTTAAGTTTATTCAAACCCCTCAAAGAAAAGTTAGCATTCATAGGGTTAATTGGTGGGGGAGAAGCTATTGTAGTGGTGGTAGCAGGAGGCTGAAGAAAATGGTGTTTCTTTTTGTCCTTTTTTGCTTTGTAGAACTGACTTAACCTTTTCTTCTCCTACTTGGAGGAAAGAGTATGCACCCTTCTTACATTATTGGTCTGCCCAAAGCTCACTTTCAGAGATTTTTGAATCTTTTTTCCTCTCAGTAGAGGAGAGAGCAACTACAAGTTCATTTTTGTTCTTTGGCCCATCCAAAGCCAATAGGAATGAATGTCTACTCCCTTTTTCTTCCCACCTGGAAAACAGAACAGTAAAAAATCTCCTCAGCTGCTCTTTTTTCCTAATGTCAGCTAGCAAAGCCAAAAGCAGCAGGATCCATCAAGCTTGGTATGCTGTGGATGGGTCTATATTTTTGAAATTCTGTAAGTAACTTGTTAGAGGTAACTTTTGCCTCTAACAACAGATAATATCTCACTTACTATTTCATACCGTATGTAACTCCAAAGCCACCTGGACCCTGGAATTTTGTCTTTTCCTACTTCCTTTCTCTTCCCAAATAATGTAATTCTATTTTAATGAGTCAGGGTAATTCTAGTGAATTTCTTTGCTACCACTGCTGTGTCGTGGATCCTGAAGACTACCTTCACCTTCAGAGATTCAATAGGAGGACTCAGCCTAGTTGTACTCATGAGTGAGATTTATTATGCAGTAAGGATATGTAGCTCCATGATAAAATACAGACACAGGTGGAGTGTGGAAGAATCCATGTGCAGGTTTCCATATGTTCGTTCCTTCTCATGAGCACAGTCTTTCCCCAGCAACAAAAATGGAGCAGACAGTATATGATATCTCTGGGGATGCCCATTAGACTCAGAGGCCAAGCTTTCTGCTGGGGGTTGGTCATGTAGCAACCTTCTACTCAGCATGTACCAAAATTCCAGGCTCTCAGAAAGAAAGCAGGTGGTCAACATGAACCGCATTGTTCAATTGTTCTTGGCCAGTGAGCCACCTTTTTCACTTAGGGGAAGTGTAGGAAACTAGTTACCTTTTGAGTTCCCAGTTAGTAGCCATGGGTCAGATTTGTAAGCAGGCCTGCTATATTAACTTCTATCTGAACAGAAGTACACACAAAGAGAGAAGTTTAAAAATCTGTATGCAAAGAATTAATAGTTCCCTGAACTAGACATACTTCCTTAGCTTCATAATTAAGTTTGAAACTGAAATTGCTTACTTAAAATGTTAGAGATATAAAAAGATTATTTTAAACATTCTGTAAGGCAAAGAATAAAAATGTTTTAAAATCTTTATAAATTGATGAAGTTATTTTTATATTTCCACTTAAGCTAAAAAATACTCAACATGTTTCCATAAATGCATAAGTATTATTTATTTAAATATATTCCCAAATGTTGGTTTATGCAATTAGTAGCATATATACTCTTTTTAGTATTCATGAATATTGTTGCTTTTATTTTAGTTTTATATCGTGAAGGAAAACAGAGGTAATGAAGGCACGTGTGTTGGAGTTTCTCGCTGGCCAGTCCATGACTTTAACCACCGCACTACCTCGGATATGTGGCTCTACAGGGCCTACAGTGGCAACCTCTATCACAATGGAGAACAGACTCTGACACTATCCAGCTTTACTCAAGGAGATTTCATTACTTGTGTGTTAGACATGGAAGCCAGGACCATTTCCTTTGGGAAAAATGGAGAGGTATTGAAACCCATTCATAAATATTGCTTTTTTTTTTCTCTAAAATTATATTCAACTCAGTGGTAGTTACCTGCTTTATAGATTATCTACTTTCTTCCTTCTTTTCTTTAATACTTTCTGGCTCTCATAATACTTTTTAGCACCAGCTGGGTGGTGGCTCATGTCTGTAATTGTAGCATTTGGGTGGCTGAGGCAGGAGCATCACTGTGAGTTCAAGGCCAGCCTGGGGTACAATAGTGAGTTCAAGGTCAGCCTGAACTATATAGCAAGATCCTGTCTCAGAAAACCAAAACTAAACAAACACTGTTTCAGCACCAAACTAACAAGGTGGTAAAGTCCCCAGTAAGATTTTTGAAACAGGTGAACAAATTAAGATCATTTATTTATTTATTTTTTGGTACCAGGGATCGAACTCGGGACCTTGCGCTTGTGAGGCAGGCACCGGAACCACTGAGCTAAATCCCAGCCCTAAGATCATTTATTTTTATGTGGAATTAACTTAGTTAACAATTTTAGTTGAGTTTTGGCTCTAGTAACAATTGTTCTGTCTCATAAGGGCTTTAATTTTAATATGGTTAGATGTTATCAATTAAAGTTGTTTTTTTTTTTTTTCTTTTTCTTTTTCTCACCTCTACCACATCCTAGGAACCCAAGTTAGCTTTTGAAGATGTGGATGCAGCAGAATTGTACCCATGTGTAATGTTCTACAGCAGCAACCCAGGGGAAAAGGTACTGAACCCTCACACTTATATTTAAATTTTAAAAATATTTGTTAATATCAGGTAGAGCTTATAAGGATAATAAGCTGACACACTATTAAAAGAACCTGACCCAAGTAATTCCTACATTTAGAAGAAGATTAGATACTTTTAGAAATTGTTTTTAATGCACTAGTTGATCCTCAGGCAATTTGAATGTAGTGAGTCAACTTTCATATGTGTGTGCAGCAGCTGGAATTATATGAATTAGATTAGGGATAACCTGGCTTGATGGCAATTATGGATTTGAGAGAGAAATCTAGAAATAATCTTAAATGTAATGAGATGCCATTAGTCAAATAATGTAGTTCTAGTTATGTTCAAAAATCACTTTTCACTCATTCAACTGGGAGAGTTCTCAGATCTTGTAGATGGTATAAATTTGAACTCATGAGAATAATATTAAAAGGATACCTTCTCACTGAAACCTTTTTGTTTTCCTCTTCTAAAACCCAACCAGAGAGATAACCTTCCCTAGTCTCCCTGCATTGGGCAGTGGATTTTTTTCCCTATCCCATTGTTTCACTAGAGGATGTAGTGTAGCTTAAAGACATCATATTACAGTGATACATGCACACCCATGTTTAGAGTAGCACACTCATAATACCTGAATCTTGGAAGCAGCCTATATGTGGAACAGCAGATAAATTCATAAAGACAATGTGGCATTTATACATGGTGGAGTACCAATTTGCCATAAAGAAGGATAAATTTGAGTCATTGGATGCACCTGGAGACATAATATTGTATGAAATATTTCAGACACACAAGCTTAAGTATCTCATGGTTTCTCTTACATGAGAAACCAAAAATATAAATAAAAAGCAAATTAGAAGAGAATAGGAATTAGGGAGATAAATCTTTTACACAAGGGAAGGGGACCAGGCTGGGGATTTAGCTCAGTGGTTCCGATGCCTGCCTTGAAAGCGCAAGGTCTGAGTTTGATCCCTGGTACCAACAACAAAACCAAAAAAAAAAAAGAAAAAAAGGGAAGGGGACTGTGAGGGAAGGGAGGGGAAAGGAAAGGAAGAACTAAGATGTTTTATGTACATGTACCAACTCCCCACGAGGAATATGATCATTAGGTGCTACAAACATGTACACCAAAAGCTAAAATTAAAAAAGAATTTCTAGTTATTTTATAGTAGAAAAATTTCAAGTTAGGCCTTATATGATTTCCCCATGATAGAAATATTAGACTTGGCAAGTCCTAATCATGAAAGTTACCTTTTATTCAGTGCTTTTAAATATATATTTTTTTCTTTTTTATTTCAGGCAGTTATTTAAGGTTAGCCATTCATAAGACAAAACTACTTCTTCAACAGATAAGCAATAAAAAGTGAACTAGAGGGCCAGGGAATTAGCTCAGTGGTTTCGACGCCTGCCTTGCAAGTACAAGGACCCGAGTTCGATCCCCAGTACCAGAAAAAAAAAAGTGAACTAGAGATGAAGAGGCTGCCTAGTATCTGATATCATTTCTTCTCTTCCCCTGATGATATTTTATTTCTTTTCTTTTTTTCTTTTTTGTGGTACTGAGGATTAAACCCAGAGCCTTGGGCATGCTAGGCAAGTACTCTACTAGTGAGTTGCACCCCTGGCTCTATTTATTTTTTTTATTTTGGTACAGGCCTCAGTTGCTGACTTGCTCAGGCTGGGCTCAAATTTGCCATCCTCCTGCCTCAGCCTCCCAAGTAGCTGGTATTGCAGGTGTACATCATTGCACCTGGCTTATTGGTATTCTTGTTGCCCAGAAATGGGTTTTTGGGTGTTTTGCTTAGAATAATGGCCTGGTGTTTTCAACATATATGAACCTTGAAATTCACCCAGGCTTAGACTATAATCAAAATCAATACTAATGATAGTTAACATTTTTTAAACATTTACAGTTTGCTTGCCACTGTACTAATAAGCACTCTATGTGAATAATTTTATTTAATTTTTAAAATAACAGTAGAACACAAATACTATTATTGCCATTTTCCCAAATGAAACACTGATTAGAGGATTAAATAATTTTCCAAAGTAATTCAGAGTTAAGATTTGAATTTAAATCTTCCTCTTGTCTTCTATGTCTTATTTGCAGTATATGTCCAGGTAGGACTACCCTAATATTTAAATTTATAATTATGCCTCTGTCCCCTTTGAATAATAAAGGATGGTCCTACAATTATCACTCTATAGTGTCTCAAAGATGAGATCTAGTGTGTTTTCCAGGCTGTTTCAGATTAAACCAAGTCAGTCGCATATACCATGATCTACAGCCATCTTTAGAATGGCCCTGACAGCTCTAGAATTGTAACGCTAGAAGAGGTTTTAATAACAGGGCTCTTATTCCAGGGGAGCATGTGTAACTTCACTTAGGTCTGTAACATTTCCTCAGTCCTTTTTGGGGGCTGCCAGTTATAATTCACATGTCTTAACAGGCCAAATGGGATTCCATATGTTAGGATTTATGACTAATAATTAAGGAGACCTATTAATATCACACATATCTCACTGTCTTTTCTTTTGTATAGGTGAAAATTTGTGAAATGCAGATGCGTGGCACACCCCGGGACTTGCTTCCAGGAGATCCCATTTGTAGTCCAGTAGCAGCAGTGCTAGCTGAGGCCACTACTCAGCTTATCCGTATTCTTCACCGAACAGACCGTTGGACTTACAGCATTAACAAAAAAATGATGGAAAGGCTACATAAAATTAAGATATGTATTAAAGAGTCAGGTCAGAAGCTAAAGAAAAGCCGCTCGGTTCAGAGCCGAGAGGAAAATGAAATGAAAGAGGAGAAGGAGAACAAAGAGGAAGAGAAAGGTAAACATAATAGGCATGGCCTTGCTGACCTGTCCGAGCCACAGCTGAGGACTCTTTGTACAGAGGTGTGGCCCGTGCTGGCAGTGATAGGAGGAGTGGATGCTGGTCTTAGAGTTGGAGGTCGGTGTGTTCACAAGCAAACTGGGCGCCATGCCACGCTGCTGGGAGTGGTCAAAGAGGGCAGCACATCTGCCAAAGTCCAATGGGATGAAGCAGAAATTACCATCAGGTATGATCTGTTGAGTTATGTTTTTAGCAAATCAGTGTTTAATGGTGAAATTGGCCCTTGGCCTTGGACAGTGAGTAATTAATATTATCTTAGGTGAGCTGCCAGTTAACTTCTCAAGTAATTTTTTTTCTATATTTGGATATTGGCCATTTCAAAAAAGAACTTTGTCCAAACCTGTGTTCTTTGAAATACTAGTTGTTTGTAAAACGTGTAGTTTTCTGTTTTATTTTGTTTGATGAAGAAATGGTAAGCTCACTGGTTTAGATTTCACTAGAATCCTTCATTCTGTTTTTCATTTGGCTTTCTGCTTTTTGTTTTATTTGCAATGTTGCTGGGGATTGAGCCAACAGCCTTATGCATGCGAAGCAGCACTCAGCCACTGAGCCACACCCCCAGGCTTGTTTCCTGCTTTTTAAAAAATTATTTCCATTATACAATGTGATAGTAAAAAGCCACCCAGCCAATCTGTTGATTACAGTTTGTATTAGAGGGACTCTAAATATAGGATGGGATCATTTGAGCAACTAAAATTAGCTTTTGGATGATCTCTGGTTTATTTTGTTCTGTCTTTTTCCCCCTCTACTTATTTTTATACAGTACATATTTCTATTCTCTTCATACATAGCATTTTGACTAGATATGAAAATTATATTTATGTGACACAAGCTGGGTACTTTAGCATTCTGATGTGTTTGCATTCAAATAGGATTTGAAATAGAAACTTCACTTATAAAGAATAATGTCAGTTATCTCCATTCATGAGGAAACTTGCTTATCTAGTGACTGTTTAATCATATCCTTTGAGATTATGGTTTTATCTATGATATTATATAATTATTATGTTACCTAATGTGATTCCTATAAAATCTTGTGTTAATATGACCTAAGAACATTGTCTGCAACAGTGACTCTTAGTGTTTTATGGCTACAGTACTATTTTAGAATCCAGTGAATGCTAGAATTCAGGAACTTTCTTAGTTGAAAAATACACATAAAGTTTTTACACAGTTTCAGGGGTTAATGCACTCTCCTTTCACTCATTTCAGTAGGCTAAGAAACCAGTGTCAGTTTTACAGTCATTTGAGAGCGTCTACTTTTTATTCTTTCCCTGTTTCAGGAAGGATTTATGATACTTTGTTAATTTGCGTACAATCTAGTAAAATAACTAAAATGAGAACAAGGAAAGTGATACAAAGATAAAATAAGATTAGAAAGATAAGTGGAACCAAGATTTAGTTTAGTAGAACAAAACTTATGTATTTCCTGATGCTTTTTATTATATTTTGTATAATTAGAACATTCTTAAACTATAAGAATTTTGAAATATATAATCATATTTTGCTTAAAGTGTAAGAAACATAAATTGAAGACTAACGTAAAAATTTTTAATGAAATTATAAAGAGCCATTACCCACACAAAAAAATAGATTTAGTTATACAAATTTTCCCGATCACTTACATCAAACTATATCTGGTCTACCTCCTATTTTTGTAAGTAAAGTTATACATCCACATTCATTTGTTAAGTGTATCAGTAGCTGCTTTTGTACTATGATATCAGGTTTGAGTGGTGGCAAATGACCTTTTCCCTGCAAAATCTGAAATACTGACTCTTTGGCCCTTTGTGGAAAATTTGCTGACTGTTGCTTACCTTACATGATGGTGACTATTCTCACTCAAAAGCACATTCACATCTCATTGCTTTTGGATATGGCATCACATGTCCCCATTTTCTCATACTAATCTTATTTTTCTCTCTGTAATGACATTTTTGAGTTTGTGTAAATTATTCTCGGTATTGTATACATGATGCATGTTGTTTGTCTACATTATTTCCTGGACCTTCCTCCTGTCCTTCCCTCACTTGCTTTTTCCTGTGTCATTCTGATCTTTATTAAAGCTTCCCAACTTTTTGGTCGCCTAGTGATACTCCATTGTATAATCTGGAACCCTGTGAACCACTGCCGTTTGATGTGGCACGATTCCGAGGCCTGACAGCTTCTGTGCTGCTGGACCTGACGTATCTGACAGGCATTCACGAAGACATGGGGAAACAGAGTGCCAAGCGACATGAAAAGAAACACCGACATGAGTCTGAGGAAAAGGGAGACAGTGAGCAGAAGCCCGAGAGTGAATCTGCCTTAGATGTACGAACGGGCTTAGCATCTGACGATGTCAAAGGTCAGGGTGCCACAAGCTCCAAATCAGAAAATGAAATAGCTTCATTTTCGTTAGAGCCAACACTGCCAGGTGTGGAATCCCAGCATCCGATCACAGAAGGAAAAAGAAAAAATCATGAACACATGTCCAAAAATCATGACGTAGCCCAGTCAGAAATCCGAGCAGTCCAGCTGTCCTATCTCTACCTTGGTGCTATGAAATCACTTAGTGCTCTTCTTGGCTGTAGTAAATATGCTGAACTATTGCTGATACCAAAAGTTCTGACTGAAAATGGCCACAACTCAGACTGTGCAAGCTCTCCAGTTGTTCACGAAGATGTGGAGATGCGTGCAGCCCTGCAGTTTCTGATGCGACACATGGTGAAGCGAGCAGTCATGCGGTCGCCTATAAAGAGAGCTTTAGGATTGGCTGATCTGGAACGGGCTCAAGCCATGATTTATAAATTAGTGGTCCATGGCCTTTTGGAAGACCAGTTTGGGGGCAAAATTAAGCAAGGTATGTTATCTAATTTTTTTTTTTTTGCTTTTGTGCTATTGAAATTATTTATACTCAAAACTGTCAAAACTGTGATTTATACAAATATTTTTATAAAGTATTTTTAACCAAAGCAATTTTCACATTATTTTTCCTTCCTTTGTAAGATAGAATTCTTTTGTTACTTTCATATTGATAATCATCTATCTATAATTTTCTATATAAGCATTAAAACTTGATAATTATTACTAAATTTTATAAAAGTAAAGTTTAAGTCATTCTACCTGTCTTACTTACTTTTCTCATCGCTGAAGCAAAAATATATAGCACACAAAGTTAAAGGAGGAAAGGTTTATTTGGCTCACTGTTTGTAGAGGCTTCAGTCCATAGTCGGCTGGCTCCAAGGCAGGGGGAGGGGCATCACAGAGGAGAAACAGTTCATGGGTGGCAGAAGGTAGCAAAAGCAGCAAGTGACAAGCCCCAGCCCCAGCTCTTTCTGTCCCTTACATCTTACCCAGGCTACCTGCCCTTAGGATAGCACTCACACCCTTACTCCTAGCAATGCACCATGAATCAGTCCCATCATCATGTCCTTGACTCCAGCAGCACAATTCCTAGATCCAGCCACCTCCAAAAAGCCCACATATGACCGCATGAGGCTTTGGAGGACATCTAGACACAAGCCATAACACCACACAAAAGGCACTCAAGTATCTGATTCAAAATATATTCTAATAACTTCTAAAAGACATTTTAAAGGATATTTTAGAGGCCACTACTTTCATAGACTATACATTGTATCTAAAAATAACCCACTTTGTATTTTATCTTCACCTTTGGCAGTAGTATAAATTGTGAAATAAAAAATGACATTCAGGAAATGTTTATAGAATGCCTACTCTGTGCCAGGTGCTTTTCTAGGTTCTAGAGCGGTAGCAGTGACTTAAGCAAAGTTCCTTGCCATTGCTAAGCTTATATAGTACTTTATTCTTCCTCTCCTCCTCCTCCTCTTCTGATTCCATTCCCTCTCCTCTTCCTTTCCTTTGCCCTTACTCCTTACTCCTAACTTATACTGTTCCCAAAGGTGAAGATAAAAGATAAAACAAAAGAGTTGATTATTTTTACACATGATATACTGTGTAGTCTATGAAAATAGCACAGTCTTTCCTCTTACTGCTCTACCCTCTGTCTTAGCTTAGATAGCAAATAGGCAGAGAGAGGTACATGGTGCATACAAGTAGGAGCGTTACGGTTGGGTTATGAAGGTATGTGGCCATTTAGCAAACCTAATAGAATTAGCTGTCTTTATAGCAGCTCCTGTTTTGTATTTATTTGTAGGTTTGCTTATTAGATAGAAAGATAGATAGACAGACAGATAGATGTATGTTCCTTTTTCTTTTGGTACCGGGGATCGAACTCAGGTCCTTGTGCTTGCGAGGCAGGCACAGTGCCACTGAGCTAAATCCCCAGCCCTGTATGTTCCTTTTAAAAGCATGGAGCTTCTGCCCAGGTTTTTATTTGTCTTGCATTTACATGCCTTTATGTTTTCCCATTTATAGATTGAAGATAAGCATCAAAGTGCTAAGAAAACACAGATTTAATGATTAGATATTTTTAGAAAACCTTTTGTCATATCGTACAACCAAAAGTGAGACCTTTTACATTTTAAAAAAAAGCCTTCATTAAACATACAAATGAGTAGTTTGAAGGGCTTGTTACAGTACTGTGTATAGAATCTGGAATGGTGAGTACAGTAGTGAGTACAGTAGTGAATACAAAGATATATGTAAGAACTTTTTTTGGTAAATCAGAAAATATGTTTAGAAACTTCTAAAAGTAAAAATTGCCGCTGTTCCTTTTGCTACTTTCTTATCCTTTATCTTGGTTTATTAGAGGTTGATCAACAAGCTGAAGAAAGTGATCAAGCCCAGCAGGCTCAGACTCCAGTTACCACTAGCCCATCAGCCTCAAGCACAACTTCCTTTATGAGCAGCTCCCTGGAGGACACCACAACTGCCACCACTCCAGTCACTGACACAGAAACAGTGCCTGCATCTGAGTCCCCAGGAGTGATGCCACTCAGTCTTCTCAGGTAGACGTTGACCGTAAACATCTGCCATGCTGGTGCCCACAGTTCTGAAGCATGATTATTCCCCTGTGGTAGTGTGCCAGAGTGACCCCTAGTGCTCTAGAACTGGACTAAATCTGAGATTAGGTCGTGAAGCCCATTGACTGAAGTTGGAAGTCTCTCAGGAAGTTTAATAACTTGCCACAGCCTCACAGCTGGTTGTTGGTGGCCCCAGGACCAGTCAGCAAGGTCACTGATGAGCAAGTGCCCCACAACTCTCTCCTTATGATGTTTTTTGGTGTGGTTTTTTTGGCTAAATTTTTGAATTTTTTTCAAAAAAATAAATACTTGTATTTTAGACATCAGGGTCTCAAGAATAAACTCACCTCTATGAGCATTTTTCCTTTTAAGCATAATTATACTTTTATTCTGACTATAAAATCAAACAAGTCTACTTTTCAAATGAAAAGATATGTCTTATGATGCTTCTTCAGCTACCCTATGTGTTTGTAAATTCCAAGTAATGTTCATTTAAATTTCTTTTTGTTTCAGTTTACTATATATACACAAATGAAAACTTACATGAGGAAACCTTTAGGGAGAGAATGTTATATATTCTCTTAACTGTGGCTCACACGAAATAAAGCAGAGTAGTTAGTCTTTTTCTTATTTCTTTTTCCCCTTTTATTAGTTGGTATGTCATTATTATTCCCATCGTATAGCAGTGGTAATGAACCAATGACATGTGCCACAGTGGGCTGTTTGTTGTCACTGAAAGCTCTAAAACATTTGCCATCTCTGGTATAGTCCAGAAATCTTAGTGAGTGGAAGAGGAGAGTGGTTTAGTTGTGATTCTCAATTTTTGCATTCTCAATTTTGGCATAGGAGCCACCTGTGAGGCCTTCTACAGCTCTGGGGCTGTATACCCCAGCATGTTGGATTCAGTAGGTCTGGTGGTTCCCATAGCGTGCATTTTAATTATGTTTCCATAGTGATTTTCATGCAGTGTCTTCATCTAACACACCAAGAATTACTACTATAGTTTCATGCCAGGAAGCACTAATTTTTATAGCTACCGTTGCTAAATCTTCTCTTCCTTAGCGTGATTACTCGAGTAATAGTTCTAAGAAGTGCTTCTGTTCAAGAAAGGGGAAGAAAAGAATTAAAAAGAAAAAAGAAAAAGAAAGGGGAAGAGAAAATGATATAACATTTCATTGTTTTTTAATTTATCTGGCCATTACAGAATTTAGGGCATCCATGGAAGAGCTTTGACTCCTTGTCATCTTTCAAGCTCTGACTATAGTAGGCATGGGATTCAGTGGTAGAATCATGCACCCTTGCTTCCACAGGCGTTCACAAAGCCTGTGAACTCCTCTTTTCTTCTTCCTTCTCCTTGTCCCTCTCCTTCCCTCCCCTCTCTTCCTACCATTACAGGGCTAGAGATAGAACCCAGGGCCTAATGCATGCTAGGCAAGCTCTGCCAGAGCTATACCTCCTCCTTTCCTCTAACCTTCGTTTCTTTTCTGTTGGCTGGGTTTTAATTAGAGCTGCAGTTGTCTCTACCTGGCTGAACATCATTTGACAGGAGAAAAATAAAGGAAATACTGTTGTCTTTGATGGATAAGCAGGGCTTTTGTGGTGGTGAGAAAGCTCCTAGTTCTTTTAGTTAAGAGCCATCAGAGTGGATCTTCTTGGACTCGATTCTCTAGCTAGTATCCAGCTTCTCAGCTTGTGAGGGGTTGTCTCTCCTGTACCTTTCCACCTCTGTAGAGCTGGCATATCATTCACATACTGTTTTTTTGGTTCTGCTGGGTGACTAGACAGTTATCTTTTCTTTCCATAACTTGCCTATAATGTGTAGCTTTGAATTTATGTGAATAACTTCATAGCCATCTAGTGAATTTATATTTAAAGTAACTGCAAGGTATATATGTCTTTAAAATTCTCGTTTAGTTTCTTACTACTGTACACGTACTAAAATACCCATGTTATTTTGATATGATACTAGAACAAAAGCTACATAAAGTCAAGGATTTTTCATGTATTTTGTTAGCTGCCATATTACCCTCTACTCTTTTGATGAGCAAATGATAACAAGCAAAAGATTTTATTATTTTACAGTAAAAGTACCCTATAAGATAATGATTTTTAAAACTGAGTTGTATTTCTTACCACCCTTAAATTATAGATAGCTAATCTATATAATCTTCCAGGTTGCATATTTTTCTATAAGAAGATTGTGATGTATGAATTATTTCTTAATTGGATTTGTATGCTAACTATTGTTATTTTCTTAAAGGCAAATGTTCTCTAGTTACCCAACCACCACTGTACTTCCCACACGTCGGGCACAGACTCCTCCAATATCATCATTACCAACCTCTCCTTCTGATGAAGTAGGACGAAGGCAAAGTCTAACTTCTCCTGATTCCCAGTCAGCAAGGCCAGCTAACCGCACAGGTGCGTGGGCTGTCATGCACTATGATACCCAAACCTCTCAGCATTCCCAGTACGTGGATTTTCTCACATGAACATTATATTATGTCCTCACTGGAGGTAAAGCAGTGATTTTAATGAAGGAGAAGTGCACCATCAAACTGAGCATCTTTTCCATTCTCAAACTGCACATTGAAGTATCACTGTTTTGAAGAGAAATCATGTCCTGTGTATCAGTCATATCAGACCTTTCTTTCCTAATACAGGCAATTAATTATGCTAAAGTTTTCCTCTAAGCACTGCTTTAGCTGCAATTCACACATTTTTTAAATGCCATATTTTCATTTTCATTTAGTTTAAAGGTAATTTACCTTTGATACTTTGACCTCTGGGTTATTTAGAAGTATTACTTACTTTTCAGTTATTTAGGGATGTTCTGGTCATCTTTTTGTTACTGATTCTACTTTTATTGTCATCAGTGAATGTTCCTTTTTTTCTCTTTTTGCCATACTGGAGATCAAACCGAGAGCCTCATTCATGCTAGGCAAACACTGTCACTGAGCTACATCTCTGGCCCTTGTACAATTTGAGTTCTTTTAAACTTATTGAGACTTGTTTTATAGCCTACTGTATCGTCTGTTTCAGTTAAAAATGTAGATTTGGAAAAACTGTGTATTGTTTTATTGTCGAGTGTGTGTTCCGTGAATTGTTTCTCCAGTCAGGTTGGTTGGTAGTGTTGACCAACTCTATCCTTACTCATTTTTTGTACATTCTATCAATTATTGAAATAATCTGACTATAATTGTGAATTTGTTTATTTCCCCTTTTGTTTGTCAGTTTTTGTTTCATATATTTTCAAGCTGTCTTTAGGTTCATAAATAGGATTTGTATATCTTTTCAAGAATTGACTTTATTATTATGAAGTAACGCTTTTTCCTTGGTACTATTCTTTGCCCGAAAAATCTGCTTTCTCTGCTATTAATATATCCACTCCTGACTTTTTAAATTAATGTTAGAAATAGAATGGTATTTCTGTCATGGTTTTACTTTATCTCATTTGTATCTTTATTTTAATAGTGAGTATCTTGTAGACAGCTAATGTCAGTCTTGCTTTTTTAGTTTGATGTTCTCTCCTTTTGAGTTGTTTAGACCATTTGTGTTTGGTGTTATTATTGATATGGTTGGATTTAAATCTGCCATCTTTCTATTTTGTCCTGTTCTTTGTTCTCTTTTTCTTTGTCTTTTTCTACCTTCCTTTGGTTAAGTGAAATTTTTTATTTTACTTTATCTCCTTCATTGACTTATTAGTAGCTATAGTTTATGTTGTATTTTTAGAGATTACTTTCAGGTTTATAGTATATATCCTTAATTATCACATGTCCAAGTGATATTTTACCACTTCATACATGGTAAAAAGAATCTTAAAACAGAATGCTTTTATTTCCCCCATTTCAACATTCATAAAGGTGTGATTATAATATATGATAAATGTTTAAATTTCAAAAAATTTATTACAGTAAAGGGCGCATTGCCATTAATCCCCCTCAAAATATTCCCCCTTGCTTTGCATACATTTATCTCATTTTTGCCACTTTCTGAAGCAGTTCTGGAAGTCTCTCATGAATGTCTTTGCATTCTTGTGGCTGCCTTGACATCCTGAATTGATTGAGAACATTTACTTTTCATGGTCATTTAGACTTTAGGGAAGAGCCAGAAGTTGGATGGTGAATAAGGTGGATGAGAACAGACTGTAATTTGTTTACAAACCTGCCTTTCTGTTGGATGGCACTTTACCATATTCACCATATTTGTTTTTCATCTTAAAAATGTGTTTATTTTTTTAAAAAATCAGTCGTGTACAAAAGTGTTTCGTAGTTTTTAATTCTCAAGACAAACACCCAACCCTCCCCCGTAGCCCACCCTGCTTCAATAGTATTTCTGATAACCCTCCCATTTTCCCCTTACAGGAAGTTAATGGCTCAGAACAGACCCTCCTACATTTATCATCACTAACAGACTGTTTAGAGTAGAGATCTAAGAAGCTAACAAGCAAGGTTCTTTCTCAGTGAGGTTAGTGAGAATCCCTATAATGGCAGTTGACTTCCAGCAGGCACCACAACAAAGCACCAGCAATAGCTGAAAGCTAAAAAATAGATTATTATTTTCCATAGTATTTCATTTTCTATTGGACAATTCTTTAAATAAGATTAAATAAGTCTCTTTCCCCCCAAAGGAATAGTCTAGCTTTTATTATGATGCCTGTAAAAAGTAGGTTGCAGCAAGCAGATAAGGATCGTTCACAGCACAGTGCACTGACTTCTGTCCACTCACGCTCAGAACCAAACCAGTAAACTATGCCACACCTGATTATATATAGCAACATGGTTGAAATAACCAAGCAAAAGGTGACACATTCACAACTTACATTTTTAGGTGATGATGCAGGTTTATGAGATTACGTCAGTCCAATAAACCAGTAACAAAGCAGGATAAAGGAGATAGCAACACTCCCTTACCCCATGCCACAAGATTTTTGATTTATATTGCAAATATAATGTGTGACATCATTTGTAGACCCTAAAGAAAAGTCACACTTTGTTTGGAAAAAGGCTATTCATCAGTATACTTCAAGTTGCTGTTTTCACAATGTAGCAACTAGCTAATAGTTTCAATTGGTATTAAAGAATAGAAATGCATTGCTTCTGGGTCTTTTGGCTAAGATCAAGTGAAGAATTGAAATGCACCTTTTTTGAATCAATTGTTTGTACCCTAGAATTGAAATTCCTTGGAACTAGACAAAGTGATTAGTGCAACATCAGTTTGTAAAAGTCCATGAAATAAAGTTAATTGTAAACCAACAACTTTCTTTTTCATTTCTACACATTTTTTTCCTGTATACAAGAATGGTACACTTGGCTCCAGCTATTTTCTGCCAGATTCATCTTAAATCTTTAAACCATAACAAAAGTTCTTTATTTCCTGTTTCTACATAGAATTAAGAAAACATTACCATACCTCTACTGCAGCATTTTAAAAGCTCAAATGAGGCATACACTTATAGTCCAGATCTGCTTTTCACATTGGCAAACTTATGAAGCAGCCTAAAGAGTAATATAATATCCTGCATGCAGTAGTACATACACAAGCAAACTCTATTTGCCAATTCTTTCTTACAGATACTTAGAAAAAGAATTATTTTACATAGTTTTAAGTGCCATTAGCAGTCATAAATGAGAAAAACTTTGAAAAAGAGACCAAAAAAAACAATCTACTTGTGCCTCATAGCTTATTTTTCTCAGAAACAAAATACTCAGATTCCAAACATTTATATATCCTTGGTGTTTTCTGTGTTTACATAAACCATAGTCATAATTCTAAACATTTCAGAGCCAACTAGGAGCATCAAATTTAGTAGTAAGTTCTTCAGATACGTATGTTTGAGTCTCAAACTGCTATTCGTTCCTTCCTCCCTTCATTCATTCACTCACTCACTGGTACTGACAGACTGCACAACTAATTGTTTCTTCTTTTAAGTTAGGTATATACTCAGGAAAAAGACCTGATTATAATAAAAGCCTATTAGAATATCAGTGACTTTAGCAAATCTGCCTGCTCTAAATGGAATTCAGTGTTTTTAATCATAATTTTTGGAGGCTCTTAAATTCTAAAACACCAAGAATTATAGGGCTGGGGATGTAGCTCAGTGGCATCACGCCTGCCTAGTAAATGCAAGGTCCTGCATTCAATCCCTGATACATACATACATACATACATACATACATAAAAATAACTTTCACCAGGGTACTTTCTCCTTATGCCTGAACTTTTAGTGTCCTTTTCCCAAACACATTTGACACCAGAAGAAAAAAGTAATTGCCTTAGTTTCTATGTTTGTGGAGGTAAATCTATATCGAGAGAGGGGAGGAAAAAAAAGAAACCAAGAGAGTAGAAAATGTACCAGAGGGCTGGGGATTTAGCTCTGGTGTCGCCGCCTACTGCGCAAGCACAAGGACCTGAGTTCGATCCCTGGTACCAAAAAAAAAAAAAAGAAAAGAAAAGAAAATGTACCAGAAAGAAAAAGTATCACCATGTTAAAGGGAAATAAATTTTTATAATGAAAAATTCATTATGCAGAACCTATCAAACTAAACATTGTACTTTCCAATTACCTGGGCACTGGAACTGAAGTGCAATCAGATGAGTAGATACCTGGCCAGGATATGGGGCAGTGTGCATAAAAATCAAAGCAGGATAGAGCTGCCTCCAAGAGTAGAGTATCTAATGCTTGACGCTAGTAACCACTGAGTTCTTTTTCTCTTTTGTCTAACCACGGACAAATAAATGTACGCTGATATCCATATTTTTAAATCACATCTCATAAGACACTCAGTGGCTAGAACAATGGGATAAGTGTGTTCACAGTGAGGGGGTGTATTCTGAGGATTAATGGCAGTGTGTCTTTTACTGTGATTTAAAAAAAATTTAGACATTCACCATATATTTTGATCATACTCATATTTTTATTGTTCTACATTTAAATTCTATATGTGTTCTAAGCCCTGTGATAAATTGTTATTCATTCAGGAGAGTCATTATTGCTGTATCTTCAGATTCATTAATCTTTTGTTATGAGTTTTTTTTCAAATCTTTTATGTCTTTTAAACATACTTATTCTTTCTTCTGCTTTACATAGTATGTGGAATAACAGCGAGCTCCATGGCTTGTTCTACCTGCTCCCTCCTTATGATTTTCTTTCACCCTAGACAATTTCTAGATCGGCTGATAATGGAGGGGAAGAATAGACTCTGCGCATTTTTGGAGCTCTCTGCCTTCTGCTTTCCATGTCGCTGTCTTTCCTGGCATTCTACCCTGGGACTTCTTTGACATCCCTGAACTTTCAGCTCTGTCTTCTCAATTCATAGAGATCGCCGATTTTAGTTTGAGTTCACCCTACCTGCACTGCAGCAGGAGATTCTCTCTAGGTGTTAACCTGAGAGAGGTGTACTACTCACTTCATCTGTTTCCCTGCTCTCAGAGATCACTGTCCTACACTTCCTATTTTTCAATATCTAAAGTTTATTGTTTGATAAATTTTTGTCTAATATAGTATTTAAGGTGGGAGGGTAAACCTAGTCTCTAGTTTTCCATCATGACCAGAAGCGTAAGTCTATCAGTTATATTAAAACCATTACCACTATAGCAGTAGTGGTGTTTTTAAAGCAAAAATGAGAGCCCTCTCTTCCTCCTTCCTTCCTTGTCTCTCTTTCCCTTTCCTCCTTCACTATTAGGTGGGCCCAAGCTAGGTAAGTATTTGTGCCAGAATAGTTATGAGGAGGATCCCTTGTAGGTGGGAGGAGCCTGGCTTGGGGTATTAGATTCTGAATGGAAATGAGAAAATGTCCATGTGACAGAGCCAAGGTGGGTGAGGAGGGTTTCCACTAGCACTGTCCAATGAAAAAGCCTGACTGCAATGATAGTACATTTGCAAAAAGCATATCTACAGCCTAAAGACTGTTCTGTACTAAAAGGAACTCACATCACTTGGGTGAAATGTCTGATTTCAGAGCTGAGCATGAGATGAGCTGGAATAACTTGTGCCCAAAACTAATAAAACTGCTCAGGCATGTGCTTAAACAGTTTAGAAACTAGATTGAGCAGGCTTGACTGTCCAACTCTAGGAGACTTGAGACATCAAAATAAATAATTGTAATAGTAACAGATAATAATCCATGATTACAATATAGAAGTCTATACTTCTCTTCTCCTGTGGAGAAAGAAGCCTTGCCTTAGAGTGCAGTACCAACAGATGAATCTAAAAGGAATAATTGAATGAAAAATCATTATTTGTTAGACATCATGATAGTAATTCATTCAGTAATTAAATATCAGTGAGTGCTAATGAGTAAAACTTTGATGAGGAATGGAATATTCATGTGTTCTTATAGTACCTCCACACAGACACCTCTTAGTGAGCCAGGTGTGGTGGCCATGCTTGTAATCCCAACACTCGGGGGGGGTGAGGCAGGAGGATCGCTTCGAGTTTGATGCTAGCCTGGGCCACATAGTGAGTTCTAGGCCAGCCTAAACTACATACCAAGACCCTGTCTCAGAAAACCTAACCAAAGGAAACCAAAACAAAACAAAACCCTCTTGGTTACAAAGGGAAAAAAAAGAGTAACCTTACTGTGGAGAAACTGGCAGATATCACCTAACTGGAGTAAGCAAAGTTAGCATCACCATTATTGAGACATTGTGTATCATCTAAGAGAATGCAGCATTACTTTCATGGTAGTCCTTCCAAAAAGGGGACCCTGAATGTAATCATGAGGTAACATCAGACAAACCCCTACTGAGGGATAATATACAAAAACTGGCCCATCATCTTCTAATTATCAAAATGATTGAAGGGGATTGAAGAGATTTGCCAACTAAAACGAAAGGATGATCCTGGATTGGATCCTTTGCTATAAAGAACATTATTGGACGTTTGGTGAAACTGCAATAGGATTTAGATGAGATGATGACACTTGATTTCTTACGTCTGTTGGGAGTGTTACGGTTATCCACGGAATGTCCTTATTTGTAGGAATTATATTTGAATATATTCAGGGGAGATGGGGCATCAGGTCTGCTACTTACTCTGTAGTGTTCAGGAGAATAAGGGTTCTTTGTAGTATTATTTTAAATTTCTGTAAGTTTGGAACTTTTTAAAGTGGAAAATTATTCAAAATAAAAAATTTTAAAGAATTTTTCATCAGGTTTATTTTGTGTTACCAGCAGCTTTTTCTTTGTGAAAACCTTTATACTGTATTGATGTAAGTTTAATCACCTTTCATTAAACATTTAGCATATTTTAGTACAGTAAGATTTTATGAAATTTTTATTAAAATTGGAGACTTAAAAGCTTACTATGAGAACAGTTTTACTCATGGTCTGCAGTGACATTTAGACCCTTTCTTGTCTTTCTTTTGCCTCAGCCCTGTCAGACCCAAGCAGCAGACTTTCAACTTCTCCTCCTCCTCCAGCAATAGCAGTCCCCTTGCTGGAAATGGGGTTCTCTCTCCGGCAGATTGCCAAAGCCATGGAAGCCACAGGTAGGATACGTTTTTATATGTCAATATCTCTAGTATAAGAAGACCTGTCTTAGGAAAGGCAGCATATTTTTAAAGAGATCATAAATCTTGGTAAGATTTTAGACACCATCAGAGCAAGTGCTTTTAAGTGATAGCGTAATTTTTTTGTCCAAATTCAGTATCAGACTTTTTTCCCTGTACAGGTGCTCGAGGAGAGGCGGATGCCCAGAATATCACTGTCCTTGCCATGTGGATGATAGAGCACCCCGGGCATGAGGACGAGGAAGACCCCCAGCCGGGCAGCACAGCAGACGCCAGGCACGGTGCAGCAGTTCTGGGCAGTGGTGGGAAGTCAAATGATCCCTGTTACTTGCAGTCCCCAGGGGACATACCGTCAGCTGATGCTGCCGAGATGGAGGAAGGCTTCACCGAAAGGTGAGATTCCAGTTTATTTCTGTTCCGTGTGTTAAAAGTGCCTCTAAAGCCCCATTTATTTTCCTTCAGAAAATGCTTCTTGTGGTGTATGAAATTGACAACTACAGGTATGTGAAAAGATGTGCATTTTAGTGACAAGCTTACATTTCTGTGAAGGGTAAAAACAACATGATAAGTTTTGATTTGAATGGATGTTTCCATGGAAAGAAGAAAATTCGTAAGTTTTATGTAAAATTTAGTGGAAAAAAGGAAACTTAAAACTGAAACAAGTTTCTTTTGAAGTAAAATAAATATAAAACAAATTTATCTCATAAGTGATATATAGCAGAATGTTCATATTAATATTAGATATTGATTTAATTAATACACTTGATAGAAATGGACTTTTCTGTCTTTTAATATAATTTATATTTTTATTTCTATAGTTTTTAATATCTGATATATGTTTTTTATAAGATTCCTTGATAATGCCCCCTCTAAAATGAGATATAAGAAAATATCCTTAAATTCTCCTTAAAATCTTTTCTCCTTCAGCACTTCCTATGACTTTTGATTTTCTTCATTTTTCTTTTTAGCCATGGAGTCATATGGTTACCAAGGATTGTATCTCATGTAACATGCAGGCTTTTTTCTAAGCTCAGTGAATGTTTTCATCATTGTGAAATGTCTGTTTTTGCTAGGCAAGGAATCCCAATCATTTTAATTTTTATGTATTTGATAACGGTCTATCTGCCTGTCTATCTTTATCCACCTCCTCCCCAGTGTTGGGAATCAAACCTGGGGCCTTGCATGTGGTAGGCAAGTATTGTACCTCTGAGCTGTATGCCCAGCCTTGATGCCATTTGAATTTGAATATAAACTGAGGATCATATCGTTGTTTGTTAGAATCCAAAATCAGGTAAAATTATTGCTCAGGGCACAGTATATGACACATCTAGAACTCAGGAGGTTTATAGGGGAAAAAAAATATGTTTCAGAGTTTTATAATAATTAGTAATATAGCTCAGTGATAGAGCAGTTCTTTAAGAAAGAAAAAGGCTTATCAAAAATGTATTTTTTTTCTCAGTGATACAGTGATATTTACAGAAAGAAAGTAGTACCACAAACAAACTTGTACCATTGCTTTCTTTTTAATTATACCTTTTAAAGCTTTGTATTGCTTTCAAACTTGTAGCCCTGATAATCTGGATCATACAGAGAATGCAGCTTCTGGAAGTGGACCACCAACTAGAGGTCGTTCAGCAGTAACAAGAAGACACAAATTTGATTTAGCAGCTCGCACATTGCTGGCAAGAGCAGGTAATTATATGTTTTGTGTCCTTCTCTTGTTTAAAAACTTTATTTTAAAATCAATATAGGGGCCAAGGATTTAGCTCAATGGTTCTGCTGCCTCCCTCGCATGCCCAAGGTCCTGAGTTCAATCCCTAGTACCGGAAAAAAAAAAAAAAATAATAATAATAAAATAAAATCAATATAAAAGGAGCATTAAAGATATAAACTAATGATAGTAAGTAGTCTCTCCACATTAATAGAAAAAAGTATTTGTATATAATTTTCTACACATATACATAATACTTAATTGAAGTTGCAGCATATATTCCATATATTCATAGATTTATTTTTAAGTTTCCTATGGATGCAGAAGGCTACATTGGCCATTTGTAGATTTTGAGAAATTTTTAAATGTTCTCTCTGCCCTCAATCTGTTACAATTTAAGAAGTGGTGGTGGTGAGAAGGAACTGGAAAGGATACTGTGCCAAAAAAACTAGACATTGGCTTTTCTAATGTATGCTATTGACCTTAAAGCCTTACCACTAGGCAAGGCCCTTGATAAGCAAAACTGAATTCCCTCAGTACGTTAGTAAATTCTTCTGGAATTATGTTTTGGGTATGTAATGTGTAACTTATAGGGAATATATTTTCCAAACACCAACCTGGGATTTGTGATTTGTCAAAACCAAATTTGATCATTGAAACATGAGAACATAAGTAATCATTGAACTATTCATGGAACTGTGAGAGAGAAATTGAGACTACCCTAGAAAATATAGAGTGCATATTTACCACAACGTGAAAGGGGACTGATTTTCAAAAAATAAACCTGAAAGAATAATAGCATCTAACACTTAATATGTTTTTCTATAAAAAGAACATAAAAGAGTTGGCATGGAGTATCTTAAACTTATCAGTAGCCCAGTGAGGTATGAATGCCATTATTATCCCTATTTTACAGGACAGGAAACACAGATGATAGGTATATTTTGAAGGTTGTGGTCTGAGATGCAATAAGCCAGCTGAGATAGTTTCTCACCTACATGTGTGGTAGTTAAGAACTGGAGAAATATTCGGAGTTATTCATGTAAATAAAATGCCTTTTTTGTTTTGTTCTGAGCGGGGTTATACCGCTCTGTGCAGGCTCACAGGAATCAAAGTCGGAGAGAAGGAATATCTTTGCAGCAAGACCCAGGGGCGTTGTATGACTTTAATTTAGATGAGGAATTGGAAATTGATCTTGATGATGAAGCAATGGAAGCTATGTTTGGACAAGACCTGACCAGTGACAATGATATTCTGGGAATGTGGATCCCAGAGGTACTGGATTGGCCTACCTGGGTGTGTGTGACTGCAGCGGGGGCTGCTCTGAATTATTTTCCTGCCCTCCTGTTCATACAGCTTACTAACAGCAGCCTTGCACAGAGTTGAAATCTCTAAAAAACCTTAGAGGTTTTGGGGATTTAATGTAGAGATTGCTTTGGTACCTGAGATATAGGGATTTATTGTAGAGGTTGCTTTGGTACCTACATACTATTAAGAAAAAGTCTCTTGTTGCTGTATCCATGTGATGTTATTGCTTCTCTCCCTAACTACATTGTGATCATTTTAATTTTGCTGTCAAAGATAGCTTACAAAATAGACATCAGGCCCAGTAGATGGTGCTGAGTTAGGTACCATGGCTGCTGTGCTCACGCTGCTACCTGAATGCATGCTCTTCTCCAGAGGTTCCATGTAATCACTGTAATGCCTCATTCTGGGAGCCAGTGCCTACCTAGATCTTGTAAATCCCTCCCTCCAGGGACAGAGCACATGGGGGCTTATAGGTATATGTTGTTCAGCATTACATTTTTATAACAGAGACACTAAAAACCTCACAGATACAAGTCATAGGAAAGGTGTTCTACGATGTTAATAAAAGAATTCTAATGTCTTTCCTCAGAAATTCAGAAAATAGGCTTACATTTTACATCCAGATAAAAGGTAGTTATTTTCACTGAAGAGTTATCTAAAAAATCATTTTGGGATAAAACATTATCGTTTTCTTGATGTTCAGTTGCCAAATTGTGACATACAAGAGTATGGGACACGACACCTTGAGACTGTAGCATTAATGAGCACGTTGTAAATATCTAAGATATGTAAACAAAGTAGTTAATTTAATGTCATAAACCTACTTACCTCTTAATTTTAGTTAAGTTGACTGCAATAATTTGGTATGAAATCATTTTGTGCAGCGTGTTTGTGAGTCTGAAGACAGGGAAGAAGTGGTGGTGTGTGAATTATGTGAATGCAGTGTCATCAGCTTCAATCAGCACATGAAAAGAAATCACCCAGGCTGCGGGCGCAGTGCAAACCGCCAAGGCTATCGAAGCAATGGCTCCTATGTGGACGGCTGGTTCGGTGGTGAATGTGGGAGTGGAAATCCATACTATCTACTATGTGGCAGCTGCAGGGAGAAGTACTTAGCTCTGAAGACTAAATCTAAGACAACAAGTTCTGAAAGGTATCTTGACATTTGTCTATATCCAAACCCTTTGAAAAATATTTCATATTTAAGACATGGGAACTGTAGCCTTTTCATGTGAAGAATTGTTAATGACCTTCCCTAATGCCCTCTGATTGCTGAATTGTAGGCAGAAAGCATGGACAGGGTTGAGGAACTAGTCTTTCAGGATCTTTGAGAGGCCAGGAGTAATGGTATGGTAGCGGATGCTTCCCTGGAGTCTGAGTTAATCTTTGATTTGTTGACAAGTGGTCAGGCAGAACCTTTGCCTTAACCTTCAGGAGGCATATAATCAATTTTTTTTTCATTGATTATTTCCCCCATATTTCTAGCAAGCTTAATTTCTTGATGAAAAATAGACTATTCTGTTTAAAGGAGCTTCCATGAAAATACTATCTCTGTATATCCTTATTTCTAGTGAGTAGAATTTTTGCCCTATTGTCAACTATGAAATCTTTAAGGCTTTCTGGAATAAAGTTTGATTACAAGAGTTACTGTAGGTGATCAGAAATGTCCCTAAGTTGTCTGGTACAACAGTTAATGATTTATAAGCATGTGTATACACACATTAGCCCATAACATGAAACATTTTTTAATTTTGTGCTGCTTTATTAATGACCTATTAAAATAGTCTAATGACTTAATTTGCATTTTGGGTACTAACTGTTTTATATAAAAACACAATGTTCTTCATGTTTGGTGCAGGTACAAGGGACAAGCTCCAGATCTAATTGGCAAGCAGGACAGTGTGTATGAAGGTAGTTGTTTGTTTTGAGAGCTTCTTTATTTTACATGTATTTTTATATATACTCTGTTCTTAACATCTGTTACTAAAATGTACCATTGAGTGTGTTTATATTTATGTATATATTAACTTGAATTTTACCAAAAAAGAAAATTCAAGGTAGTCTGAGAGCAATAGCCCCAGTTTCAAACTCAGAGGAAAAAGGATCTAAGTTCACATCCAACCTTTGCCATAAGAGTATCAGTTTCTGTTTGGCACATATATTTTTTTAAAGTAGGAAAAGATATATATTTTGAATTTCCATCCTAATTGTAGAAAGTGAAAAGTAAAAAGTTGAAATGAGTATCAGTTTTTCTGGAGCACTCATTTACTTGGAATAACGTCTTCCCTGATGATCATGGACAGGGTGGAGAATTTTTTGTTGGTCCCATGATAATGTTTTTTACTACTTGAATCGCCCATGACCAACTGTATCACTTACTGTTACTTCAATGGATCTGACTGCAGTCTTTCTTTCCCTTACCCTAGTCTATGCCTCATGGGTGCAGTTTGGTCAGATCACCAGCAGATGGTGCCATAGTTAATTCTGTGGGCCCTGGATTTTCAGTCTATCTGGATTTTAAATACACTGTGTCTCACAGTAACCATTGGCATCAGAGTTGTGTTGTGTTTATATTCACATACCATACATTTATTTATTTAAATTCCAGAAGACTGGGACATGTTAGATGTTGATGAGGATGAAAAGTTAACAGGTGAAGAAGAATTTGAATTGCTTGCTGGACCGCTTGGTTTAAATGACCGGCGCATTGTACCAGAACCAGTTCAGTTCCCTGACAGTGACCCACTGGGAGCATCAGTAGCAATGGTCACAGCCACCAACAGCATGGAAGAGACTCTGATGCAAATAGGTAAACTGAAATGCTGATTCATATTGATTTGACCTTCTATTTTAATTTGTTTCTTAATCAAATAGTAAGAGTAGTGGTTTTACATCGCCTCATTCCATCATTTTTGTTTCAACATTTTAAAGGTATAATGTGATATTAAGAGTTGATTTTTTTATTTTTGTGAAATATCAAAGTGATAAAAATACAGGGCCAGGGATTTAGTTCAGTGGTTCTGGTGTCTGCCTTGCAAGCGCAAGTTCCCGAGTTCAATCCCCGGTACAAAAAAAAAAGAAATATCAAAGTGATAAAAATACAAAACATGAGCAATAATCTTGAAAATTGATTCAGGAAATTCTGTAAATAAAAGTTGTGCAGTTTTCTTCAGCTGTTTTTGAGAGAGAGTATTGTTACATTTTTGTTACAAGAAACACAAAATAAAGAATTGGAACAGTACTGGTAGCCTTGCCCTTTATGTATACTCAAAGCATATTTTTAAAACTATATCTTTCCTGTATCTGTTAATATCAGAAGTGATACTGCTTAATAGAAAATTTCTCTTGTAATAAGTTACTAACTGGGCTGGGGATTTAGCTCAGTGGTTCTGTTGCCTGCCTCGCAAGCGCAAGGTCTCAAGTTTGATCCCCGGCACCAAAAAAAAAAAAAAAAAGTTACTAACTTGGAAATACCTGAATTAAAACTTAGAAATGTGTAAGTTTCTGTCAAACAATTTCCTATATAGTAAAGTTCCACATGAGAAAACATATTTCTTTGCTTTGTTTCCACGCATCCTGGATCTTATGTAAACTAGTAAAAATTTTCAGTAGTTCTGTTACTTTTTTTCTTACCATGTTGATAACTAAACACAATTCTGTTTTTCAGGTTGCCACGGCTCTGTAGAAAAGAGTTCCTCAGGGAGAATAACGTTAGGAGAGCAGGCAGCAGCCCTCGTAAACCCACATGACCGGGTGGTAGCTCTCAGGAGAGTGACCGCTGCTGCGCAGGTCCTTCTGGCTAGAACCATGGTCATGAGAGCACTGTCTCTTCTCTCAGTCAGGCAAGTGCTGTTTTGATGCCAACTTAGCTTCTGGCATAGGTTAGACAGCAGTTTGATGTTGTTTGGGAGGATACAGTTTTTGAAATTTGAATATCTACTGATGAATAAAAAATGTTAGACATAGTCATAATTGTTATTCATTCAGTCATTCAGTTAACATTTGGCTCTTTTTACATAGAAAATAATGCCATTGATACATTTTAGTTTGTTACCTGAAATTAGAAACTAAAATGCTATTGCTCCATTTGGTGTCAAATAAAAGTTAAAGATTGAGTTTTTCTGCAGAATTAACCAATTGTATAGATAAGTCTCCTTTTAAATTCTGTCATGGTAACTCTTGCTATCTTCATGCTGTGAAGTCCAGTATGAAAGAGAAAGAGAAACAAGAATACCTAAAAGATACCCATTTAAAAAATAATTCAGAAGTATTTAATAGCAAATCAGTGAATGTAGAAGGAAAGAAAAACTCAAAATAAAATTAGATGGGACTATGTGGTATTGACTCAAAGATAAACAAATAGGATTGCAGAGAACAGAGTTTCAGAAACTGACCCTCACTTATATAGATACTTGATTTATACTTGATTTGTGACAGTGGTTTACACTGCAGAGCAATGGTTAAAGAATTATCTTTTTAGTAGCTAGGACAGGGTCAGGTAGTTTATCCACATAGGAAAAAGAAAAAAAGAAAAAGACCCCAACCTTATAATGTGTAAAATAAGTAACTCCAAACTTGTTCTTAAATCTAAATATGAAAGATAAATCAGTACAAGAATTTATTCTTGATTTTGGGACAGGCAGAGATTTCTTAAGCAAGTCACAAAAGTTATGTGTCTAACATAAAGATTGATAAATTGGATTGCATTAATATAGAACATTTTTGTTAGTAAAAGTCATTAAGAAAGTAAAAAAGCAAGCCACAGATGGGAGAAGATATGCATGTAATCAGTAATATGTACAGAATTCCTCTAAATCAATAAGAAGAAACCAGACAACTCAAAAGAATAATGGGCAAAATACATTTTAAGAAGTGCTTCACAAGCAGGGCATGGTGGTGCACGCCTGTAATCCTAGCAGTTGGGAAGCTGAAGCCGGAGGATTGCTGGGAGTTTGAGGCCAGCCTGACCTACATAGGGAGAACCTGTCTCAAAAACCAAAACAAAACAAAGAAAAAAAAAGATAAGTACTTCAGGGCTAGGTCCAGTGGTCTATAATTCCAGCTACTCTGGAGGCTAAGCAGGAGGATTGTGAGCTCAAGGCTATCCTGTATTATATAGAGAGATTTTGTCTCAACAACATCAACAGCAAGCCAGAGAAAACTAATTTATGGCTTTAGTTTCTAATTTCAGGGCATAATGACTGAAAGAGCCCAAAGCAGGCTTCTGAGGTGCTGTTAATTTTGTTTGTTGATCTGGAGGGTGGTTACATGGATTGTTCAGATTGTGAAAATTCATGCTTTGAATATTCTTATATGTCATTCTCTGATAATTCAGTTATACCTCAAGTCTGTGTCAGCCAATGATAAAATGAGAAGGGTTTAAGTAGTAAGTTTCCAACTTACATAGTATTTTTGAGGTCTATTGGGATACTTCTAACTAGTATCACAGCTTTCATTTTCCTCGGTTGTTGATGCTGTAGATGGTATATGGAGCTAAGAAGTCCCATAAAAAATCTACTGTTATTTTCTTTATCCATCTGAAATGCTTTCCTTTTTGACAGTGGTTCCAGTTGTAGCCTGGCTGCAGGTCTCGAGTCTCTGGGGCTAACAGATATTCGAACCCTGGTTCGATTAATGTGCTTGGCTGCAGCAGGGAGAGCTGGCCTCTCCACAAGCCCTTCTGCTACAACAAGCTTCTCAGAACGTTCACGTGGTGGTCACAGCAAGGCCAACAAGCCCATCTCTTGCCTGGCCTATCTGAGCACAGCAGTGGGATGCCTGGCATCAAACACTCCTAGTGCTGCAAAACTGCTGGTGCAGTTGTGTACGCAGGTATGCTGGCCACAATGCTTTTCCCATTGTATTCTTTATTCCGCAGTGGTTCTTGAAGAACCTTTTGAAACAAAATCTTTTTTGTTCCAAAAGTATCTGTAAAAATTAAACGTGTTTATTCCAATTGCCTCTTCAGAACTTGATTTCTGCTGCAACAGGTGTAAATCTAACCACGGTTGATGATCCAATTCAGCGTAAGTTTCTACCCAGCTTTCTCCGAGGAATTGCTGAAGAAAATAAGCTCGTAACCTCCCCAAACTTTGTTGTAACTCAGGCCCTTGTGGCATTACTAGCAGACAAAGGAGCCAAACTAAGACCTAACTATGATAAATCAGAAGTTGAAAAGAAAGGTAAGTATCATACTATTGAAATACACAGTCTTCTAATCAACTTGAGTCATGTTTTAAAAGATGTGTTTTTGCATTGTTGTATGTAATACATGACATAACATGTAAAATTATTAAGTTTAGAACATAAAAGAAGTACATGGATACTTCTTGTCTGTATATAGAAACAAGTATTAGAAAATGTACCAAATTAGTATAGTTCTAGATTATGGTTTGAATCACCATAAATAATAACCTTGGTAGGTTTCTGTAATAAAATTTAGATAAATATAGTACTATATTATGTGATAACACTTTGAAAGGACTACTTAATCACTATTCTCAGCCTAGTGTGGTGGCGCATGCCTGTAATCCCAGAACTTGGGAGGCTAAGGCCAGAGGATCATGAGTTTGATGCCAGGCTGGGCTACATAGTGAGACTGCTCAAAACACCAAAACCACAGCCCTTCCCATAAGAAAAAAAAAATCACTGCTCCACCCTTCTCTTCAAGATTATTTGGTTAAGAGGGGAGCTTCTGGATTCATCATTCCATTTCCTTGGCTGGCCATTAAACCCCAGTCCCTTCGTGTGTGTGTGTGTGTGTGTGTCTGTGTGTGTCTGTGTGTATTAGGGATCAAACCCAGGGCTAAGCATGTGCCTACACCCACATCACCAAGATCCTCTTTGAGCAACATAAGACAAATTTATTTTTAAGGGAATGTAGTCTCTGCCCAGGCTTTAAAATTTTTTTCTGCTGCATTCTCCACCTACTGAGTTTGCAGAACAGAGAGTATTTGTTGATGTGTAATAAAATGTTTATTTCATTGAATCAGATTTAGTTTAGAATTGTTTTTTTTTTTTTTGGTACTGAGGATTGAACTCGGGACCTTTTGCTTGCGAGGCAGGCACCGGAACCACTGAGCTAAATCCCCAGCCCTAATTTAGAATTTGATGTGAAATAAGTGCTTTATATTCTGTATGCTTTATATGTTAGTTAAGTGCTTTAATTTTAGTTAAATGATTGCTTGCAAAAGTACTAATTCTTAAATGGGTTAAGCCATTTTTGTTCATCACCACTGACTCTCATCTGAGCATCATTTCATTGTTTTGTTTAAGCAGGTTTATTTGCCCAATTGTATGCCCATCCTTCCTATGATCCTTCTGCTGTAGGCCCTCTGGAGCTGGCTAATGCCCTGGCAGCCTGCTGCCTCTCCTCCAGGCTGTCCTCACAGCATAGACAATGGGCTGCTCAACAGCTTGTGCGCACTCTTGCCGCACATGACCGAGACAACCAGACTGCTCCACAGACACTTGCTGACATGGGAGGCGATCTCAGAAAATGCTCCTTTATTAAGTTGGAGGCTCATCAGAACAGAGTATGTATTTTAGGTATAAGATAAAATAGTTTCTGACTAGCTAAAAGTTTGAGTCTTGGTGTTTCTTGCCTCTGTAGAATTCTGGTTTGTTTTCTCTCTCTCTCTCTCTCTCTCTCTCTCTGGTAGTTTCCAACTCTTATTTTCTCTGTGTGTTGAGTTGATTTAATAGTATACAGATAGGGGATGAGAAAAGTACCCAAAAAGTTAACTGCAGAAAAACTGATGGCCTTTCTATGCAGGAGGAAAAGAAATGGACCTCTTTTAATCTAATCCCTTAGGTCTCTAAAGAGTGACAAGAGTAAAGAAATGAAGGCTGACAATTAGGAACAAAAAAGATAAAGTCATAACAGATCCAGCAGAAATCCAGAGGATTAATACCTACTTCAAAAACCTGTACTCTAATAAAATGGAAAACACAGAAGAAACAGACAGATTCCTAGAAACATATGAATTACCAAAGTTAAACGAAGAACATACAAAAATTCTAAGCACCCCAATTATAATCAGTGAAATTGAAAACATATTTAAAAATTTACTAGCAAAGAAAAGCCCAGGTCCTGATGGCTTCACTGCTGAATTCTACAAGACATTTAGAGAAGACCTATTGCCACTACTCTTTAAACTCTTCAATGAAATTGAAAGGGAAGCAATACTTCCAAATTCATTCCTGGAAGCAAGTGTTGCTTTGATTCCAAAAGTAGAGAAAGACCCAACCAAAAAAAGAGAACTATAGGCCAATCTCACTAGTGAACATAGATGCAAAAATCCTCAGTAAGATACTGGCAAACAGAATACAGAGAATCAGCAAGAAGATCATACACCCTGACCAAGTCGGATTTATCCCAGGGATGCAAGGATGGTTCGACATACGTAAATCAATAAATGTAATACATTATATTAACAGAGCCAAGGACAAAAACCACATGATTATCTCAGTAGATGCAGAAAAAGCATTCAACAAAATTCAACACCCATTCATGATAAAAACCCTACAGAAAATTGGAATAGATGGTCTTTATCTCAACCTGATAAAGGCTATCTATGAAAAATCAACAGCCAACATCATACTAAATGGTCAAAAACTGAAAACCCTCACACTAAAATCAGGAACAAGACAAGGATGTCCACTATCACCACTCCTGTTCAATATAGTTCTGGAAACATTAGCCACAGCAATTAGAAAAGAGAAAGAAAAGGAATAAAGATAGGAAAGGAAGAAGTTAAACTGTCATTATTTGCTGACAATATGATACTCTACATAGAAAACCCAAAAAACTTGGCCAAAAGACTTCTGGACTTAATTGACAGATTCAGTAGAGTAGCTGGTTACAAAGTCAACACTCAAAATCAATAGCCTACTTCTACACAAATAACAGACTCACTGAGAGAGAAATTAGGGAAACAATTCCGTTCACAATAGCATCCCCCAAAAATGAAATATCTAGGAATCAGTCTAACGAAGGAAGCAACAGACCTCAACATTGAAAACTACAGCACTCTTAAAACAAAAGAGATTGAAGAGGATATAAGAAAATGCAAAGACATCCCCTGTTCTTGGGTAGGAAGAACCAATATAGTGAAAATGCCCATACTTCCAAAACTGCTGTACAGATTCAATGCAATCCCAATTGAAATCCCAACAGTGTATTTCACAGAACTAGAGAAAACAATCCAAGAATTCATTTGGAACAAGAAGAGACCTAGAATAGCAAAAGCAATTGTAGGCAACAGAGACATGACATGGGGTATCACAATTCCCAACTTGAAACTATACTACAAAGGCACTGTGATAGAAGCAGCATGGTGCTGGCAAAGAAACAGACCTGAGGATCAGCGGAATAGATTAGAAGATGCAAAAACAACTCCAGACATACTCAGCCACCTCATCTTTGACAAAGGAGCCAACCACCCTCATTGGAGGAAAGATAGCCTATTTAATAAATGATCTTGGAAAAACTTGATTTCAACCTGCCAAAGATTAAAACTAAAACCATATCTATCACCATGCACTAAACTAAAATCAAAGTGGATTAAAGATCTAAATTTTAAAACAAACACTAAGCTTGCTGGAAGATAGGTAGAACTCTCAAAGACCTTGGCTTTATGACTTTAAGACTTTATGAACAAATCCTCAGAAGCACGGGAACTAGCACAAAGAATCAACAACTGGGATCTCATCTTATTAAAAAGCTTCTGCAGGCCGGGGATTTAGCTCAGTGGTTTCGTCATCTGCTGCACAAGCGCAAGGACCCGAGTTCGATCCCCGGAAAATTTAAAACAATAAAAAGCTTCTGCACTGCAAGAGAAACCACCAACAGAGCTAAGAGACAACCTACAATGAGGAGAAAAAAATTTTACCACTGGTTCCTTAGACAAAGGTCTACTATCTAAAATATATAAATAACTCAAAAAAAATCAGACCCCCCCCCCAATATAAAGACCCAGTCCAAAAATGGGCATCTGAAATGAACAGACATTTCTCAGACAAAGAAGTAAAAGCAGCAAATAAACATATGAAAAAATGTTCAATGTCACTGGTCATTCAAGAGATGCAGATGAAAACAACACAGATTCTATCTCACCTCAGAAAGAATGGCTGCTTTCAAGAAATCAGCCAATAACAAATGTTGGCAGGGTTGTGGGGAGAAAGGAACCCTTCTCCACTGTTGGTTGGAGTGCAGACTGGTGCAACCACTGTGGAAATCAACATGGAGATACCTCAAAAAACTGGGATTAGAGGTCCCATTTGACCCAGCAATTCCTCTGCTGGGTGTCTTCCCAAAAGAATTAAAAGCCTCAAACCACAGAGATATACGTGCACCCATGTTTATAGCAGCACAGTTTGTAGTAGCTAAAAGTTGGAAACAGCCCAATTGCCCATCAACTGGAGACTGGATAAAGAAGATGTGGTTTTTTTAAAAATAAAATAGAGTACTACTCACCCATAAAGAATGAGAAACTAGAGACATTTATGTGGATGCACATTGAGGCCATACTCTTAAGTGAAATAAATAGGACAAATGTGTAAATACCGAATAGTTTCTCTGGTGTGAAAAACTAAAAGTGTAAATAAGGATCAAAATGTATAATTGATAATTGAAATAGGAAGAAAAGGTCTAAAGGGGTAGGGGAAGTGGGAGGGGTAGGGTAAAGGAAAAAAGGGAAAAGAAAAAAAAAATGAGAAAAAAAAACCTATGCAAATTTAATGTCTGCTAACCAACTCAGAAGTACAAAGTTTAAAAAGCACACTAAAGCTAGGATAGACAGCCAAGGAGTCAGTAAACATTCACTTTCTAAAAATCATCACCTGGGATCATTCATTAGTATCCTTGCCGACCAGCTCAGTGGAAGCTAACGTATTCATTCACTCGCTCACTCACTCATTCATTTATTCAACAAACATTTCCTTGGATATCCACTGTGTGTCATGTACTGTACTGAGTGGGCTACACTAATGAATAAAGCATAGTCTTAGGCCTCAAGATCTGTGGTTTGCAGCCAGTCACATAAACACATAATGGTCTTTGCAAATGCCTGTATTATTCTTGACATGCTATATCCCCACTTCCTTAGCCAAATTCTACTCAGCTCTTTAGATCGTGAAAAAAATGTTACTTCATCTCTAAAACCCTTCTTGATGCCTCAACTTGGGGTTAGTTGTCCTCTCTAAGTATTTCCATAGGGCCCAAATGCTTATTCCTACTATGCATAGGACTTAGTACTTTGTTTTAGTTATTTGTTGCTTGCCTGTGGCTTCTCTATAAACAATGAGCTACTTAAGAATTTTAAAAAAAGAAATAAAAGCTGAACTGTATTACTTGAACAATTTCAAAAATACTACTTAGTCTGTGTTATTTTATAGAACATACAAATATTAAAATCTTTATAGTTTATTGAAATAAACATTTAGTCAAAATTTTAATAGGTCTCAGATAATTGAACTGAATTTGGGCATAGTACTTTAAAGCTATACTTCAAGGTATACTAGGTATACTGAAGCCAGGTGTGGGGATGCACACCTGTAACCCAGTACTATGGAGGTTGAGTCAGGAGGATCTTAAGTTAAAGGCCAATGTAGGCTACTTAGCAAGTTCAAGGCCAACCTGGATTACATACTGAGACCCTGTCTCAAAACAAACACATATATTCAAGCTATTTAGAAAAAACTGAGCTCAGACATGCTGAGTTATAGCACAGACACTTGCCTTTTACAGTTCCATGGTAGATTCTTAATAGGACTTTTTCAAATGAGAAAGCCATTTGAATCAAGCCTTGCTTGAATATTGCTGGACTTACCCTTTCCAACTTTTCTAGGTGATGACATGTGTTTGGTGTAATAAGAAAGGTCTCTTGGCTACAAGTGGCAATGATGGCACCATTCGGGTATGGAATGTTACCAAGAAGCAGTATTCACTGCAGCAGACCTGTGTGTTCAACAGATTGTGAGTGCCAACCTCAGTTGCATAACATTTAAGGCAGTCCTCATCACGCCTCACTTGGTTGTGTAAATGTAATCAGATTGTCACTACATTTTTAGAAGCTTTGCTTTTAGAATAATATTACTAGATTTCCATTGTGGTGGGTTTTTTTTGGTACTGGGGATCGAACTCAGTACCTTGTGCTTGAGAGACAGGTGGTGAAACCACTGAGCTAAATCCCCGGCCCGCCAATGTATATTTTTAACTTTCAGGGTAGTTATTCAGAAAAGACAAATGAAAACTATCTGTATTTGGACTTAGAGTTAAATAAGGATCGACTGGCAAATAAATGTTAGCTAAATAAAATAGGTTAATTTGCGTCAATCTCAAGGGTTGTTTGGAAATTAGAGCAATTATATTGCTTTCATATTGCCGTGTAGCATTTTTAATAATACTGTAACCAGCTATAGGTATTTTTTTCCCGAGGACTTCCCTAATGATTAGACAAGCAGAAATCAGTGAACTCTGAATAAACATGTGTACAGCCCATACAAAATCTGAATGTCTTTGCTTACAAATTGTGTACTAATTAAGTGAGGAATAGTCAAGGCATCATTCTTTTATAATTTGACATTTTTCACATGATGATAAATACTAGCAAATACTGCCAATATTACCAACCAATGTTTTTTAAAGAATCTGCTATTAAGCATTCTAATCTATGTGAATTCCTTATTTTAAAGCTTGAGGTTTTGTTTACTTTTGGGTAATGGGGATTAGAATCCATACATGTGTTTTGCATTCTAGGGAAGGGGATGCTGAGGACAGCCTTGGGTCACCCAGCGATCCAAGCTTTTCACCTGTTTCTTGGAGTATCAGTGGAAAGTATCTAGCGGGGGCTTTGGAAAAGATGGTGAATATCTGGCAAGTTAATGGTAAGAATCTTGCAAATACAGGTAAACTGCTGAAGCCTTTCTCTTAGCCTTCTGAGTCCAGCCAGTGGCTTCTCTTTACTTTGGCATTCACAAACTATTCCACAACTCTGAAAATCTGTGCACAGTGTCGTTTAAATGAAGAGAGCAAACACCTGTTTTCTGATTTGTCTTTCTAAAAGTTATAATCTTGTAGTTGTAAACTAAAAATTCTTTGAAGGTACAATTAAGTAGTCCTGAAGAGAAGTAATTATCACTGGATTTTAAGCTATGTTTTCTTTTGAACCACTTGAAATATTTTGGTTATCTTTCTTTCACAGATATACATCTTATCAACTTATTATACCTCTCTAGAAAATAGAAATTATTATAATGTTGGGCTTATTAGTGTTTTTGTTCATTTTTGCCTGTTTGAGAAATAGCGGTTGCACATATTTGAGGAATAGTTAACCTTAACTACAGGTAAACTAGTCATGTTAACTTGGACTTTAGTAATGATTGGAGAGAGTGTGTTTGACATTGCCACTAAATATTTTGCTGTATTTTCTCTTATATTAAGCTATCTTTTTTGTCCTATTAATAGTTGCCAAACAAAAGCCTATTGATTTGATAATGATACATAGTTCATAAATGAAGAATCCTGTCTTCACAGACCTGTTGTTTACTAGGCTATTATGAAAACTGGGTATTGCATTGAGCATATAAATAAATAGGTTTTTTTTGGTTCGTGTTTTTTTATTTTTTCTTGGTGTTTTTTAAAGAATTAAATAAAGACTAGTTAACATTTTCTCCCTCTTTAGGAGGAAAAGGATTAGTAGATATTCAGCCTCATTGGGTATCTGCCCTGGCTTGGCCAGAAGAGGGTCCAGCTGCAGCTTGGTCAGGAGAGTCTGCAGAATTATTGCTGGTGGGACGGATGGATGGATCTCTAGGACTGATTGAAGTTGTTGATGTGTCCACCATGCACCGTCAAGAACTGGAGCATTGCTATCGAAAGGATGGTAAATGTCTGCACTTGTACCTGGTTAAGAAAGTTCCCCCCAAATCACATAATCAAATTGTTTTGTTTTGTTTTGTTTTGAAAATTGCTAGGTGAGTATTACTTTTGGCAGTATTTTCTCAATTTTCACTTGGTTCTTCACTTTAATTACTGTAGTTGCTGATTTGAGAACTATTTCTGTCCTGATCTCTATCACACCTCTATACCAAAATGAGAGTTAGTCGTTCCTGTTTGTGTGTCTTAACGTTTATAAAAGGCTCCAAGTCTCCCTTTGAAATTACAACTCTCCAAGAGCAAAAGAGGTAATCATTGGTAGAGATGAATTGAGGAAATGGGAGAAGGTGGAGGAATAAAATTCCTGTCTGACAAGAGATAGTAGGAATTCTGCTTACATTTATTTCTTACTATGTACTTTGAGCAGAGGCATCTTCCTAGTAGCTTTTATTAGTTATTTTGGGGGAATGGAATAATTCAGAGGTCATAGTGTTGGCACTCTATTAACACAGTAGGGTTTTTTTCCTAGTTTTAAAATTTTCTTAAAAATTTAAATTTCAAATTTAAGTTTTAAAAGGTTAAAAGTCTTCTTTTCATCCGCTCAATTCTTACACTCCTCTGACCAACCTTTATAGATATTGTTTTTTACTTCTTTTCTACTCTTTCATTATTATATATATTTAAAGAAGCACAGATGAATGTAGATTTTTAGATCATTCTGACAGAATATGGAAACACTGAGTAGAGAATATTAAAGAATCAGAAGGGGCAGGTAATTCCTATGACTTGGGTTATTTCACATCTCAGTTTTATGGTAGTCTTTCCAAAGAGAACCTGGTATAGTGACTTAAAATGAATCGAGAAATCCATTTGTTGTCTCTTTTCCAACAATCACTTTAAAAAAATGAGACATTATAAATGAGGTAATCTTTGTCACTTATAAATGACACTTTTAAAGTGGAAATCCCTGCTGTAAACCTACATTTTGTCTAATGCATTAAAAAGCTATTTGTAAACTTATTTCAGTGGTTGAAATAGCATGTATTTGTTTCAAAGTCTCTTGTCTTTCAAGTCATATAATGACAAATCTCCTTCTGTTCTTTTTTTTATCATGTTAGTGTCTGTTACTTGCATTGCTTGGTTCAGTGAAGACAGACAATTTGCAGTGGGGTATTTTGATGGAAAGTTGCTGCTGGGAACAAAGGAACCCCTTGAGAAAGGAGGCATTGTTCTAATTGATGCTCATAAGGTAAATGTGGCTTCACCAGACTGTCACTTTTTCTTCCTTTTTTGCTGCAGTATTTCTTGATACTAGTTTCTTTAAATTTTATTTTAGATCAGCTGCTTATGATTTAATATTTTATACAGTCTTTGGATCATGTATATACATGGAAACTTGTATTGAAAAAACCATCCAGGCAGGAAAAATTAGTAAAACCAAAACAGTGAAATAGGAATATTGTGAGAATACACTCTGTTCACAGTGCCTCCCAAAATTTTATATCAGTCACTTGTGATTTAATATCTTACACAGTCTTTGGAGTGTGTATATACATGGGAACATTTATTGAAAATGCCAATCAAGCCAGGAAAAATTAGTAAAGTCAAAACAGTAAAATAGTAATATTGTGGGACTATCCCCTCTTTACAATGCCTCCCCAGAAATTCTACTTATGGAGGATGACTTCTTTACCTTAGGCAGAAGCTGCCAATTCAGATATTTACAGGACTGCCTGGGCAGGTAACACAAATACATAAAACCAGGAAGGGGGCCAGGGATTTTTAGCTCAGTGGTTCCAGCGCCTGCCGCGCAAGCGTAAGGTCCTGAATTCAGTCCCCGGTACCAAAAAAAAAAAAAAAAACCCAGGAAAATGGATACACCTGAAAATATAAAGTTCAGTGAAATAAACCAGGCACACAAGCTTAAATACCGTTTAGTGTCTCTCATTTGAGTAAGGGAAAATACAAACAAAGAGAATAATAAAGGTTGGATAGAAGGAGACAAGGGTGGGCTCTCTTGCAAATAGGAAGAGGCCCAAGAGATCAAGGATGAGGGGTGAGGGGGAGGGGAAAGGGAAATAAGTAAAATAAAGAGATGCCATGTACAGGAACCTAATAGCCTCAGTGAATGTAAAATATGCCATAAACACGAGCTAAGATTAATAATATCAATAAGAATGTAAATGAGAAAAGGAGATTTAGAGGAGGAGGGAGGAAGGTAGGAGGGAAGGAGATTAAAAGAAAGAAACAAGTTGTGTTATGTACACGTACCCATTCCCCAAGATGATTGTAAACTGCATGTACTGCAAACATGTACTTATAAAAAAATTTTTTTAAACTAAAAATAGAAAACTCAGAAGAATACAGTGATCATAGCCATATAAACACAGAACATGTCCCAGATTCTCATAGGTGTTTGCTCATGTAGGATAAGGGAAGCTGCTTTTTTTTTTTCTTAAAGTTTTTTCCATACTGTAATAATTACCAATCAATAAAATGACTTAATAAATTATGTACAAATGAAAGATAACATATCCCTTCAGAGTGATAATTTCATAATTTATCCCACTTCACATTTCTTCAGCCTTGCCTGCCACAAATGTACTTAATGTGGACTACATTAAAGGGTGAATTGACATAGTGGTTGGGAATGATATGGCAGTGTCTGATTCACATAGAATGTTGATTTCAAAATAATTGAGTGATAGAAATACAGGTCATAAATTATTGAAATTATTTATTTGTAAAGGAAGCATTACTCTGATTTTCTCCCTCCCTCTACCATTTTAAGGATACTCTTGTTGGTATGAAATGGGACCCAACAGGTCATATTCTTATGACATGTGCCAAAGAAGAAAATGTGAAACTCTGGGGGCCTATTTCGGGATGCTGGCGCTGTCTGCACTCACTCTGTCATCCGTCTATTGTAAATGGCATCGCTTGGTGCAGCCTTCCAGGGAAAGGATCCAAGTTGCAGTTACTAATGGCTACGTATGTTATGAATTTGTGTGTCTTAATTTTTATATCAGTATAGACTATTATTTCCATTAAATGTGGCTTCTCAGAGATCTTAGTGTGAAACTTGGTATGTAATCTCCTTATGTGATCTTTTTTTTTAAGTGGCTGTCAGAATGGCTTAGTGTGTGTTTGGCGTATCCCACAAGATACCACACAGACCAGTGTGACTAGCTCCGAAGGATGGTGGGACCAGGAGTCACATTGCCGGGTAATGTTCTGGTGTTCTTAAGACGTTATCTGAAACCATAAATAGTCCATGTTATCAAAAGTAATTTTCCTTCAGTAAAATACTGCCGTACCCTGCAGGGTAAGATCTACTAGGAAAATGTAAATCATTGTCATACTTTGTGTGATCAAGTTAGCTTGATTTTTTTTGTAAGTCAGGAACACTATAAATTGCTTGTTAAGGTGAGCTATTTAGTGCATATTGAGTAGTGATCATTATGATGGTGGCGAATAGAATAGATGCTAAATGGACCAATCCTGTCTTTGGTATAGTTAAGTAGGAACACCGTGGGAGCCCCACAGTATCTCCTTCTGATGCCAGGAGTCCACCTATGAAGAATGGTTCCTTTATCTTAAACAGAAGTTACAGTTCCTTACAGAGCCGTCTAGATAAGTAATATAAAGTTCATGACACTGAGAGTTGGAATGTGAAGATGGAAAAGGTCAAAAACAGAACAACCCAAGAACCAAGAAGCATGCTTGGCTTTATTTAAAAACCACAGCTGCCATAGAGCTGATTGTCATTCTCCAGAATAGACAGCCTGTTAGTACCAGAGTGGCTAACTTTTTAATAGAAGCCTCAAACCCAGTGTTTTAAGTCAAACCTCCCGCTGGCACCTGGGTTAAATTTCTTTAAGACACTGAGTGGCTAGTGAAACTATCTTCCTCAACTACCAGTTACTTTCCGTTTTGACTGTGACACAGATAGCCTTGGATGAAGCATCCTCTTACGGTCTTTGGGTGTGTGAGTACATCGGTATTATATTCTATCTTAACTGGAGAGAAGAGGGAACTTAGGGCAGCAAGGAAGGTGAAGAGGGAAGGAAGGAGTAGCCAGGGCTCCAATAGGAGGAAAATATCACAGAAATGAAAATGCGAGCACTAAAGGTAAACCTGATTTGCTCTTTGTCCATAGAAGTGGCCTATGGAATGGTGTTATTTAATACTTCTAAAACCCATAGAGCAAACATTTTGGTTAGACACACCCTATGTGACAGACAGAACCATTGGCCAACAAAAAGAGAAGCCTATCCATATACAATTATCATGTGAATTCACAAGTGTTGGGGGATATAAGTGAAAATTACAGAACACTAAAATTAAGTGGTTTAAAAGCAGAAGTCAGAGCTGCACAGTGGTACACACCTGTAATACCAGCTACTCAGGTGGCTAAGACAGGAGAATCACAAGCTCGAGGCCACCCTGGACACCCTGGACTTAGTGAGACCCTGTCTCAAAATAACATTCATAAAAGGCTAGGGGTGTAGCTAAGTGGCAGAGTGCTTGCCTGACATGTACAAGGCCCTAGGTTCAATCCCAAACATTGTCCCCCCCAACAGCAGAATTTTTCTGTCTCTGAAGGATACTTGGAACTTTGAAGTATAGTAATTTCTGCCATTTGAAGGGAAGAAAACTAGTTTAGAAATGAATCCAAAAGGGTGAAACTAAGCTTCAGCAAAGGAGAACTAGACTCATAGTTCATTATTCATCAGTAAGGCTTACTAGCCCTTGTGAGAAGTGTCTCTCTTCTAACCCTCAGTTTTATATTGAAATGTAAAATTTCCCCAAAATGAATTGTCTGAAACGTATTAATTGTTTTAATTTTAATATATGATAAAAATAATGAATTGCAGGATGGATATAGGAAATTGGCAGGAGCCAAGTGTGTTTACCAGCTGCGGGGCCACATCACTCCAGTTCGGACTGTTGCGTTTAGTTCTGACGGCCTGGCCTTGGTATCTGGTGGACTTGGTGGGCTCATGAACATTTGGTCTTTAAGGGTAAGAACATAGATTTTATTTTATGTTAAGGAAAATTTTTATAATAACTTAAATATATATGATAAAAATTAACCAATGCTAGGAATATGTTGTGTAGTAATATCTTGAATACTGAAGAAACTTCTAAGAATCCTCTACCATTTAATTTTTTAATGATAATAAGTATTTTTAAAGTCATCTAGGCCCTAGAGAATTGGGGTAGTGAGTAAGCAATTGGACATTGTTGAATTTAGCTAAAATATAGATTTTAGAATGTTTTTATAAATGTATAGATTTTAAAATCTCAGTGATGCCTAAGGTTAAGTGATGAGTATTGATAAATATATTTCATTTTAGGATGGCTCAGTCTTGCAAACTGTTGTGATAGGCTCTGGAGCTATTCAGACCACAGTATGGATTCCAGAAGTTGGAGTAGCTGCTTGCTCAAATAGATCAAAGGTAATATTAGGGTTATATCAAGTCATAGGATATAAACCTGTAAGGAATTTTAGAAATTGTATTCTGAGCCTCTTAGTTCACAGAGGAGAAATGTGATACCAAGGGATTGTTACTTATCCAAGATAAAGCAGCTACTTTGTGGTAGAAAGAATTAGAACCTAGGTCTCCTGATTTGTTATCCAGTACTCTTTCTGCTGCCCCTTGGGCTGTGATCAAAGTGCTCAATTTTTTTTTCCTTTTTTTGTTTTTTTGAGATAGGATCTCACTATGTAGTCTAGGCTGGCCTTGAGCTTATGGCAATCCTCCTGCCTCAGCTTACAGGTGCTGGGCTTACAGCTGTGTGCCACCATGCCTGGCCAAAAGTGCCTAATTATTGAGTGATTTCATTTCCTTCAGAAGATAGAGATTTTTACTTTTTGCTGCCGTTTTTTTCTTTTTGTCTTTTTTTCCCTGCCGTCATTTTTGACATAGCACTAAACCAGTAATGACAAACCTTTTAGAACTTTCAATGATACAAACAGCCTGCTGCGGATACATGCCATAGGTTCGCCACTACTGCACTAAACTTATCTTGAGAACTTTCTCTGAAAAAAAGGAAATATCTTGAAGACTTAACTCATTTTTGCAAAGTACATCTTGGCTTTCAAATTTAAGATTTTTAGTAAAGTACCAGCAGCCTACTGTGAAGTAATTCTATGGTATATTATCCCCCACAGGAATATTTACCATTCTCTTAAATATTAGAGCAAATATATTACTTTGGTTTACATTTTATATGCTAAATGATGTTAAAATAAACTATCATTTTGAACATGTAGTCCGACCAGAAGTAAAATATAAAAATTATCCATTTCTAGGAATATTTTGAATAATGTCTTGTAATATTAGGAGTATTTTGTGTAATACCTGAGGCAATAGAGGCCTGTGTAAATAAACCACAGAGCCAAAGTAGAACAGTTCTGCTGCTTTTGCAAATGTGTTTCTTGATAGAGAATTTCATCTTCTTGTATCCCACGTTCATGTCAGACTTTTGAAATATACTACATACTTTGTCCTTTAAGTCCTGTGAAACAGCAAGTAATTGACATTGCTTCCTTAAAGAGAATCAGCTAAAGGCCAGGGATGTAGCTCAGTGGTTCCGCCGCCTGCCTGGCAAGTGCAAGGTCCTGAGTTCAATCCCTGGTACCAAAAAAAAAAAAGAATCAGCCAAGCCAAGGTCGTTCACAAATTTTACTATTATTTCTTTTTCACTCATTTTACTTATACAAAATTTAAAGGGGTTTGAAGTTCCATACGTACTAAAAATATAGCCTTTTGGAATATGAAATGTTAAAAAAACAAAGATGTTTAATGTAGTTTCTGAAAGGAATTTCTCAGATTGAATAATGATAGCATTCTCTTCTTTTCTTTAAACGTTTATCATGTGGCATGATTTGTTTTCAACTAGGATGTTTTGGTTGTAAATTGTACAGCAGAATGGGCTGCTGGCAATCATGTTTTAGCAACCTGTAGAACAGCCCTGAAACAACAGGGTGTGCTGGGATTGAACATGGCCCCCTGCATGAGAGCATTTCTGGAGCGGCTACCCATGATGCTTCAGGAGCAGTACTCCTATGAAAAGGTAACTCACGCACTTCTAGAAATCCACAGATGCTTGATGCTGTAGAATGTGAATTAGAGCTTTGAATTTACTCCCCAAGAGCATGAAGTCTGAGGAAAATAAGTGCAGTTATTTGGGCAAAATTAACTGAAGTCAGTTGTGCCTAAAAGAGTTGATTGGGCCGGGGATTTAGCTCAGTGGTTCCGGTGCCTGCTGCGTAAGTGCAAGGACCCGAGTTCGATCCCTGGTACCAAAAAAAAAAAAAAAGAGTTGATCAATAATTCCAAGCCAATTTTTATATTTACCAGTGCAAAAAAACCCATAATCCTTAAATTTATAGTATTTATATCATTTTTTTCAGATATTTTTTACTCCAGAATTTCTTAATATATTGTGCCTTAGTGTATGATTTCCCTTTTCTGACTCATGTATCCAAGTTTGTGTGGCTGTGCGTTCCAAAGTTGTGGGTGGGGGGCTACTTAGGAATGGATGTGGATATCAGAGTGTACATCCTCTCCTTTACCAGGTGATTCTTTGTGGAAAGTTTCGTAGAACAGCTAGGGCCGAACTGAGTAGGTTCATTACATACAGAATGAAGAACTGTTGAATTTAGACCTGTTGTCCAAGCAGTGATCCTAGATAGCCTGTCTCCTAGCCCTCAGTAGTTATGGGCAGAACTCTTTGTGTTTTATTTCCTTTTTTCTTTGCCAAGCTACCTTAATATAATCAGCTGTTACCACACACAGTGAATTTCACCGAGGTATTTGTCCAGTTGGTCTTTTTTGAACCTTTCAGTCTCTCCCAGAGTTGCTCTGCCCTGATGCGGGAGTGCCATTTTCCTTTGATGTCTACCAGTATTCTCTTGGTAAAAGAAGAAATGTGAGAGGAGGCAGGTCTCTGGTTAAGTTGTTATGTGTCTGCCTTTTTTTTTTAATTGGGAAAAGAAAATCTATTACATGAAATGTGATACCCTGGATTGGATCCTAGAGCAGAAAAGGAGTCTTAGTGGGAAAATCAGATAAAGTTCTATGATTTAGTTAGTATTGTGCCAGCATTAGTTTCTTAGTTTTGATAAATGTGCCATGGTTGTGTAAGATATTAACATTAGAGGAAGTTGAGAAAAGAATACAGTATATGAGAATTCTTTGTACCATGTCTGTAATTCTGTAACTTTAAAATTATTTGTAAAGAAAAAGTTTTAAAATAGTAAACAAAATATGATTACAGGCTTTCAGAGCAGAGCAAGTTAATTTAGAATGTTTGACCCAGGATCCTAACATAACATTCTTTCCTTTTAGCCACATGTGGTTTGTGGTGACCAGCTCGTTCACAGCCCCTATATGCAGTGTCTGGCTTCCCTTGCTGTGGGACTTCATCTGGATCAGCTGTTGTGTAGCCCTCCAGTGCCGCCACACCACCAGAACTGCCTCCCCGATCCTGCGTTCTGGAATCCAAATGAGTGGGCCTGGTTAGAGTGTTTCTCCACGACCATCAAGGCTGCTGAAGCCCTGACCAATGGGGCCCAGTTTCCAGAGTCTTTCACAGTTCCAGATCTGGAGCCTGTTCCAGAGGATGAACTTGTATTCCTAATGGTAAATGTAACGTGGACCACTGTTACTTGTAACTGAGATTGTATCATGGAGGTTTGGCATGCTGCAGACCCTTAATAACGTTTTGCTAGCTTGCATAGCTGGCCACATGGATGTGGATAAACTGAAGTTACTTGGTAGCAGGCCTCTGTGGTGACAGAGATTTATTGTGTCAGCTGTGGAACTCTTGTAAACCTGCTGGCTCTCAGTGACACGTCCTTATTTGTATATATTTTAGCATTTTTTTCCTGGTCGTATTGTGAGATTTATGCCACATAAAGATTTTAACTTATTTGGAACTTTAATTGTGCCTCTCGTTAGGGTCAAATAAGAACATGAAAGAGCATTCAAGTCGTCATCTCTTTTTAATTGTATTTGAGAGTATCTAGCCACAGAAATGGTGATGCAGTAAAATGCTTGTGTAGATGAGTGCAGGCCAGCACTTGATCTAACGGCTCCTTTAATTAGTAAAGGTATAGACATTTGAATGTAGATGTATAAATATAATATGAAACAGACAAATATGAATTGATGAAAATATTCTAGATACTGTATAGGTAGTATAGAGTATTTTAAAGAAATTTCCTAAACTCATTTGACTCAAATATGTCATTTTGTAGTTGTAGAAATTGATACCTAAAATGATTAAGAGACCTACCCACAGCTACACAGGGAATTGATGGGACAGTAGCTCAGGAAACATAAATGGTTAGCTTTAAATCACCGTGCCTGTAGTGATAATGATAATGAAAGAGCTTATAGTAAAGGCAAGTATTAGCAATGCATAAAATCAAGTTGGAAATGATTATAAAACTGCTCTTGTCAGCAGTGGTGGTGTGTGCCTATAGTTGTAGCTATTTGGGAGACTGAGGCAGAATAATCTCTTGATCCTAGGAGACTGAGGCCAGCCTGGGCGACACAGTGCAACCCTGGCTCAAAAATAGAATAAGAAATAGAATAAACTTCCCTTGTCTGAATATTACTATGTTCTACTTTGGAAATAAGAATTTGTTGTTAGAAGACTTTGATGTTAATTAAGAACACATATGTAGCCGGGTGTGGTGGTGCATGTTGTAATCCCAGCACTGGGAAGGCTGAGGCAGGAGGATCACCATGAGTTCAAGGCCAGCCTGAACTACATAGTGAGACTCTGCCTCAAACAAACAAACAGAAAGAACAGATATGTAGATTGTTCCTTACCAGTATTGGCTCTGATGTATGCTGTGTCTTGCAGGATAACAGCAAATGGATCAATGGCATGGATGAACAAATCATGTCTTGGGCAACTTCCAGACCTGAGGTCAGTCAGATGTAGATAGTGCTGTGGTAGTTCTCAGTCAGTCTTTTAATTCTGAGTACATGTGCTTTTGCATCCCTGTGTCCAACTCAGAGGTTGGCACACACTTAGTACTCTGTAGATGCTTGTTTGAACAAAAAAAAGAGTCTAATTTTTAGTTGATTCTGGTTTCCTAGGACTGGCACCTAGGAGGTAAATGTGATGTCTTCCTGTGGGGTGCTGGTAGGCATGGACAGCTGGCAGAAGCTGGAAGAAATGTAATGGTGCCCGCTGCAGCTCCCTCATTCTCACAGGCCCAACAGGTAAAGCAAAGCATGGGGAAACTTGGAAACATACAGTTCTGATTCCTTTGCTGTTGGTAATTTATTGTGAGAAGAAGCTTGTCCATTTCACAGTCCATTTTCAGGAATCATTAAAGAAAGTCATAGTGTGTAGCTTTCAAATAAAAGCTTGCTACGTTTTTTATCAGACTTACATTTTGTTAGCAAGTTTCTAAGTTTTTCTTGCTTTCCAGGGTAATGAATTCACATCATGATGCCTTAGGCCTGTGCGGTATGCCTTTATAGAAATTGAGATAGTCCTAATGTGTGATTCTCTTTTGGGGCCATAAGCTTCCTGGAGCCTTTAGCCAGACTGCTTTGACAGCATCCTTCAGGAGTCATGGCACTGTATTTCCAGACCTCTGTAGAGGCTGCAGCTTCCTCTCTTGTTCTTCCTGCCTCACCTGTCCCAGAGTGTGCACTGCTCTTGCATGTGTCCCCTTCAGTTTCTGCCTCTTTCTACCAGTCTTTAATAGCTCCCCACAACCGGCTGAAAGATACTGTGATTCTTAACTATCTCAATTACATGGCCCTCATACATGTCTTGGTTGAGTGAACAGTGTTATAGTAGTCAAGGATTATAGGAGAACCATACTTCAATCAACCTTTTCCTTTTAATTAAAATTAGATATCCTTGGTATATATTGAATCAATTCAAATGTTCACTTGCTAAAGCTAGATAATAAATGATCATATTTTAATTATGTGTTTTTGTACTAGGTCATTTGTGGTCAGAATTGTACCTTTGTCATCCAGGCCAATGGCACAGTGTTGGCTTGTGGGGAAGGAAGTTATGGCAGATTAGGACAAGGAAATTCAGATGATCTTCATGTGCTGACAGTTATTTCAGCCTTACAAGGTAAACTTGTCCTTAATTTTAAAATGGTCAGAAACTATGACTTAGCTGTAGGGATGTTTGCTCCTATTAGAACTCTTCCCACACCTTTGTCAGGTGAAATCATAGGCTTTTCACTTACATCTGAATTCTCATTTAGGCAGTGTGCAGCCTTAATTTCCATATTTTAAGTTATATTATTTTGTAAGTTATTTATAACAGCAATGCTAGAATATATGTAAATGCTAGAATATGATATGTAAATAAGTATCTTTGAGACCCACTTAAGATTGTAAACAAATTCTTTAAAGTCATGAAAGTGTAATTAGGCTACTATTAGTAGCAGTAGCAATCATGCATATATTTCTTTAAAAATAAAAATTATTTTATATGGAACTATGCAGACATGCTAAAGACTTTAAAGAGCATCTCTGACAGAGTTCTGAGAGACTTGGAGAAAGAATAGCTCTGGAGAAATCACTGCAGGAGCCCCTAGCTTGATCCCTAAATGGACTTTCACTGACAGCTAAGCCTATTTGGAGAGCACGGAAGGATTTTTAAGTACGTGTTTACCAGTGACAGCGAGTTCAGAACAGTTTTGTGAGAAGCTCTAGGTTATTTTCCTGGTGATCTGGATAGAAGACCATAACAGTAGTGATGGGAACAAGACCTGGGTTCCTATGTGTTCCTTCTGGTCCCTGATTCTGGGACTGTGCACAAGCTACTAGACCTTTTTGTGCTTCACTTTCCACAGTTGTAAAAATGGGGGTGATGGGATCTGCCTCTGGTATTTTTTGTGAAAATAGTAAGTGAGACAGCCTGTGTAAAGCATTTGTAACCCACTGGGTTTCTGCTCTGTTCCAGGCTTTGTGGTGACCCAGCTGGTGACTTCCTGTGGTTCTGATGGGCACTCGATGGCCCTGACGGAAAGTGGAGAAGTCTTTAGCTGGGGAGATGGTGACTATGGTAAACTTGGCCATGGGAACAGTGACAGGCAGCGGCGGCCACGGCAGATCGAGGCCTTACAAGGAGAAGAAGTGGTACAGGTCAGGCAGGACCTGGATAAGTTTGCCTTTGGATGTAAATGTACTACTTGTTGAAGAACATTTTTAAATGTAGGCAGCAGGAAATAATAGTAACAATACATTACACAGGCATTATACAAGATCCACTGTTTTTGGTTGTGCATTGAGCTTGTCAGATGTTTGAATGGGTTGTGGTGTTAGAATGAACTGCTTTTTCCTGAGCCAGCTGGTTGCCCAAGGGTGAGGTGCTGTTGCCCTGGGAAGAAACACCATGGAATTGAGCTGATACAGACAAAGAGAAGGCTTTACTTTCAGCCTATTGTTTTTGTTACAAAAACTGAGTCCAAATACATGTTCTAAAAACCAGTGATCTAATCTAAAATAATTCTTTGAGTTTACAAAGAATTTCCCCATTCATTATCTCCTATAGTTAAGATCAACTGTACCCATCTGAAGAGAAGCAGCAGTTGTTCCAGTTTCTGTTGTTTATTTGCTTGGTTTTCCTGAAGCTAGTGAGATAGATCAGACTTGGGGGGCCAGAAAACCACTCAGGCAGATAGAATATACTGGTCTTGAAAATCCTGACTTCTCAGTTAAGTTTATTGCTGTATTAATAACCAAAAGTCACTGGTTTATTTCTTAGTATCCTCTCCCCTTAAAAACCTTTTCTCTCTGGTTCTATCCTAGATGTCTTGTGGCTTTAAGCACTCAGCAGTAGTAACTTCAGATGGCAAACTTTTTACCTTTGGGAATGGTGACTATGGACGCCTGGGTCTTGGAAACACTTCTAACAAAAAACTTCCAGAGAGAGTGACTGCCCTGGAAGGATATCAGATTGGACAGGCATGGAATAAGTCATACAGTGTTCTAGCTGATCATACTTTTTTTTCTCTTCTGTGTGTACTTAGATACTGTTCTTTAGATAGACCAGGATCACCAGTCATATAACGTGTACATTTTGTTTGGTCTAACTGATAAGTTTATGTGGCTTTTTCACAATGTGAAAATATACATTTTGTGTCAGTTTGTTTGGTTTATATGACAGTTGATGCCCTAATTTCAGGATGTGAATATTTTAAAAATATCTTCCATAAAGTACTAATACAACTTGCTGTAAAACCTTTAAGCAGTACAGATTTTTGTGGTTCCTGTCTGCCAGCCTCGAGTTGAATTGCTGAACTGCAGACTCATTAATAGCTACTGCTCTGAAGCAATAGTTTTGAGAGTGTCTTAACAATGGGGTCAGATATGTTCATCTTTCCCTGTATCATTCCTTAGACACTCTCTGCTGTGATTGAGTATTTTTGAGTAAATGTACTTTTTCCCCTATCTTTTATACTCTTTGATTCTTAATTAGCCACAAATATTTAAAGAATTTCACTTTGAAAAATTATTTGTAGACAGAAGATGACCATTTTGTTTAATATTTGAAGTGGGCTCTGAAAATGAAAGTCTTTGGATACATATTCAAGTTTTTCAATGAAGTGGAGAAAAAGGGTCTCAGGAACAGGGTGATGTTTTGGGCCTTGTGCTTTGCCTTACTGAACACCCTGTGGTTACTCCAGGTGGCCTGTGGCTTAAACCACACTTTGGCGGTATCAACAGATGGCTCCATGGTATGGGCTTTTGGAGATGGAGACTATGGAAAACTAGGCTTAGGAAATTCCACTGCGAAATCCTCTCCTCAGGTCAGTTATTGCCTTTAATCTAGGTTTTCAGACAATAACAAGTAGTTTTCATCTATGTCATTGCCACTTTCTAGTTGGAAATAATTTACCTTTAATATTTTGGTGATTCATAATGAAGTTTCAACCTTCTGTTGCTTATTCTTGAATGTGCAGCATTCTAGATCTTGATTTTAAATACAATATTAATAGTTAAACTGGATGTGAAAATTCTGCAAGGAAAGGCTCTGCCTCTGTAGGCGGGCCAAGCACTGCAGGTCTACATACCATTAAAGAAGAAATAGAGGCCAGGGATTTAGCTCAGTGGTTCCTGTGCCTGCCTCGAAAGCACAAGGTCCCAAGTTTGATCCCCGGTACCAAAAAAAAAAAAAAAAAAGTTTTTTTTCTTCTCGTTTTCAAAGTGTCTACCTTACACTTTTATTTGCAGAAAGTTGATGTCCTTTGTGGAATTGGAATAAAAAAGGTTGCTTGTGGAACTCAGTTTTCGGTTGCTTTGACCAAGGATGGTCACGTGTATACTTTTGGTCAAGGTAAGGTGTTTTTTAGCTCACATTGCTTTTTTCATGTATACATGCATTATGGAAATATTTGCCTACAAGTTGTCTAAAAAAGTGCCCTGAATCAAGTAATTTTTATTCTGTGTAGTGAACAGCTACCATGTCCCTCATTTGCTCTCTGCTTTCCACTCTTGTTTCATGAACTTTAAGGACATTAAAGCTCCTCATGCTAGTGTCTTCCCTTGTGCTTGAACAAGTCCTTGCCAGAGTCTTGCTCTCCTCCTTTCTGCACTCTGTTATGTGGCCCCAAATACTGCCTTGGCTACCAGTGCTCCTCTGTGCCTGCCTCATTCCCCATCCGTTCCAGGGGCTGGGGGTGCAGATGTTCACCCCTGGAGGGATTCCCAGGCATTCAAATGTCAGATCCTGAATAGGCTCACAGCCAACCAGTTTTAGGAGGTCTCTTTAATAATAAATTCACTTTCCTAAGTGGAACTTTTTAAGTTTTAGTGATTGAGGGGTGTGTGAGGCAGGTATGAGGAAGAGAAAGAAATTGTGACTGAAATTTCTAGCCTTGGAAGAACCTTGGTTCCACTGATTGAGGAGCTAGTTTATAGGGAAGAGGATTAAAGAGCTTAGTTTTAGTCTTGTAAGATAGGGCCTTCTGCCCTTGATAAATGTAGGAAAATGTCCAGAGGGCCATTGAGAATTTAGATCTGGAACTCCAGAGAGATTGGCTATAGAGCTTTAGGCTTGGAACGTTAGTTTCATAATGGTAGTAGTTAAAGCCCTTGCTAATAAGATCTAAGAAACCTGAAGAGAGTGTAGAACAAAAAGAAAGTAACACTCTGGGGGATGTGAGTGAAGGGCAGGTGAGTACAGGATGAGGCCTTGGGAAAGCTGGCTTTGAAAGGAGCTAGTGAGTCAGGGTAGCATGGAGCCTCTGAGGAGCAGCGGGAGCTCAGGCCGCATTATCAGAAGTTTACACGGACCTCCATGGGCTGGAGCCTGAGAAGCAGCCACACAGTAGGCAATTCAGGAGCCAGCTCGTGGCTTTGAGGGTACATTTTCAGTGCAGTGGCCACAAGCAAGTCTGACTGCAGAAGGTGGCCATGACAAATAAGTTTAGAGGACGTTAAGCAGCAGGCCTGACCACTTTCTAAAAATCTGGCAAGATAAAGAGAAAAGTTGGATAGAAATTTCAGAAAAAGACAAATTGAGTGGCATCTTTATTTAGAATACAAGAAACTTCAGAGCCTTTTTGAACTATATGCTAGTTCTTTTAAATATGATACTAAGGAGTCTTTTAGTTTGAAATAAGCTGCTGGCTTTAGATTTAATTCTTTACTTTTATGAAGGAGTCTGACATTTTATAAAGAAACAGCTTCCAGCTCTTTTTTTTTACAACCTGGTGTACCTTGTTAGATAGCCACGTTTGCCCCAGTGAGTTATATACTGTGTCATTGTGGTTCCACTATAAAAAGTTAAATGAGTCAGAAACATAAAAGGACTGTGGTGTGCCATCCATAATACATTTGCCATTTTTTCAGATCGCTTGATTGGCCTTCCTGAGGGGCGTGCCCGCAATCACAATCGGCCGCAGCAAGTCCCTGTCCTAGCTGGAGTGGTCATTGAAGATGTGGCAGTTGGAGCTGAGCACACACTTGCTTTAGCATCAACTGGAGATGTGTATGCCTGGGGGAGCAATTCAGAAGGGCAAGTAAGTATCTCTCCTGGTGCTCTCTCATATTTTAGAAATCTGACAGTGTTCCCCCTGTGGGACAAGGATAAGCCAGGACATCCCTAATATCTACTACAGTGTTCCAGGCATTTCACTTTGCCATATGACTGATTTTTTTGTGAGTCCAGCCATGCATCTGCCTCTCAATTAGTCAAGGAAGTATTATACCATGGTTTAAAAAAAAGATCTGGCAGTGTAGCAGAGTGATAAGGGGATCAACTGGGTATGTGTGTGTGTGTCTACACACACATGGGACAAGTGTCTGGCACATAGTATACCACACTAAGTATTCGCTACCTGTTGTCATCATTATCATCGCTATAGTAATATATGAGATTAGAGCCTGAATATCAGCTGATCAGGATAAAGCAAAGAATCAAACAGTAATACCTTTGTATCTTACAATATAACCATGTATAAAGTATATTTGTGCTTGTGCAGGAAATCTTGTCACCCTCATTACTCAAAGGAGTAAATTAAGCCTCTGAGAAAATAAGACTCAAGGTTAATATGTTCAGGAATAGGCTTTGGTGGGAGATGCCAAGCTGCCTGTGGCAACAGTACCTTTTACTCCACATGCAGAGATCCCCCCGCCCCCATAAGTCCTCTCTGGATCTGGTTGCCCTTCAAGCCAGGGACCCGAAAGTTCCAGGTCTAGAATTATTTGTAGTAGCCTCAGGATTATTCGTAGTTGGCTCTTGTGGTCTTCTCATCACTACATTAACAGACAAGGTCGCTGCTCATGTTTGTGGTTGCAGATTGCCTTAATGAGAGGAGAGTTCATGTTGAAGACACCTTTGGAAATTCCCTGGCTAGACCTCAGCATGAGCCTCCCTACTGATGCTGAGCTGCTTAGCCACTGAAATGCTGGTGTCTCAGTCAGACTCTAAGAACAGAGATCTGGAGATCCATGGATGTTTTTATGTGTTTATTCTTACACAGAAGCCAATGTGTTTTAAGTAAAAGCTCTGCAGATCATTCTGTTACTTTTTAACTTTCCAAGAACTCATTCTCTTTCCAAACTAGAACCCAAGGATGCATTTGGTTGTTGAGACTAATCTGCAGGATCTGGAATGGCCGTGTTGCACCTTAGTTTTTAAGAGACAGTCTGAGCTGTGAGAACCATTATGATTGAGAAAAATCAGAATTTATTTTGTTATTGATGCTGTTGCTTGGTGCAGATTGAATTGTCATCACCTCTTCTCTTCCTCTAATTATGTATCTGCATGTTCGTCATTTATTCTCAGCTTGGCCTAGGCCACACCAATCATGTTCGAGAACCAACCCTGGTAACAGTTCTGCAAGGGAAGAACATTCGGCAGATCTCAGCCGGCCGTTGCCACAGCGCCGCATGGACAGCGCCACCTGTCCCACCCAGAGCACCTGGTGAGGGCCCAAGTGTCCATTCTCCTGCAGCTGCTCTTTCAGCAAAATGCCACTGCACTGTCTGCTTTCTAGACCAGCCTCTGTTGGAAACACCATGCTTTCCTACCCCTACACTGTAATTACTCCACGCTAGGCAATTCTCCTGCTGACTTGGGATGAAGCAGTCCTGCTCTGCAGTCCCAAGAGAAGAAAACATATCACTTAGGCAAGCAAAACTTGATGATTTTAGAGCAGCAAGTATGTATGTCATATATACATGACAAATAGCTTCCTAAGGCTTACAAAGATTAAAAGCCCTTAAGTAGTATATGCTGGTGCACACTTACAAACCCAGCTACTCAGAAGCCTGAGGCAGGAGGATCACATTCCAGGCCAGCCTGGGCTTCTTAGCTGAGGATCCTGTCTCAGAAAGAGTTGGAGGTGTATCTCAGCACTCTTGAGTTCAATCCCCAGTCCCCTCCTCCCAATAGCAAAAGAAGACAGAAAAAAAGATTAAAAGCCCTGAGACCATTTGCCACCTTCCTCAACCCAGAGAAATATTTGAAGCATTGGTTCAGCAAGTTCACTTGGTATCATTTTACTCCAGTGTATGGTAGGACTATTGTCCCTAGCTTTTTGTTACTTGTTTTACTTTTAATTTATTATTAAATCCTTGCAGAATACTAAAAGACTTAAAGAAAAATATAATGCATTCTTGTACACTAAACAGCCAGCAGTGGACACTCTGATTGAACCCATCTTCCATGTCCACAAATGTAGCCATCACCTTGGTGGTGGCATTTATCATTCTGAGGCAGTTCTTCATGTTCCCACTGTTTCTTATCCTGGCCCTCCATCCCTTGTGCTGTCTCCAGGGGTCTTAGACACGGACCTCCTGAAGCAGCTCTGAGCCTCAGAGCTCAGCATTCTCTTTCCGTTTTCTAACCTCTCTTGTATTGGTCAGCTTTCAATTGCTGGGACAAAATACCTGACACCTTAATGTAGAGGAAGAGAAGTTTACTTTGGCTCACAGTTTCAGTCCTTGGTCATCTGGCTCCCAGGCCGAAACCTGGCAGAAGGGAGCTCCTCAGCTCCTGGCATCTGGGAAGCACAGAGCAAGGGGAGCGCCTGAGAGGAAGGAGCCAGGGTGCAGATGTAGTCCCCAAGGCCATGCCCCATGACCCACCCAGACACCCCTAGAAGTGTGTTTTCCTCATTTCCTAGGTGTCTCTCAACCCAGTCAAGTTGGCAATCAAGATTTAACCATCACATCCCTACTTCTTAGCCATAGAGTCTTAGGGAACACTTCCCATGGAGGTGGTTTTGTTTTAACTGCTGTAAGAAAGACAGGTAGGACTGACCGCCACGTAGATTCCAAACAGCAGGTGAATCCTAGTTAGCAGAACCCAGCATGAGCAGTGCTACCTCTGCTCTGACAGTTTCAGGTACTCAAGGCCTTCAGCTTCCAGGGGGATTTCACTTCCACTTGAGGAATATGCCAGTGAAAGGCTCAGACTCTGGGACAGCACTGCAGGGACTAAATCCTGGTTCCTGCATATGGGATATGCATGGCCTTGAGACTGTTTTCTCATGTGTAAACTGAGAGTAATAGTAATGGCACCTATTGTGAAGAGCTATAAGAATAAATGAAACAATTCATAAAAATTCTTGGAATAGTGCCAGGCACATAGACATACTCAACAAATGTTGACTTTATTAAAAGGAGTACTAATACCCCTAGGGATTGAGCTGTATGAAACTTAATATTGTATACAGCAAATTACAGAAGTTGGATCTTTCTAGTCCTTTGTGCATTTTCTAAGTGTGTGGTTATGAATGCAGTCCTTGTAGTCTTTGCAGTAAGAAGCCTTCTTGAATCCTGTAGCCTGTGTTTCATTCTGTCATGGCCACTTTCTGTCAGATCCCCAGTGAGTATGAGAGGCATCTCTGTCAAGGTGCCCATTTCTGTTTTTCAGAACTCCCTTCCTGGTCTTCACTTGCACCTTCCCCTTTTTTTTTTTTTTTTGTACCGGGGATCGAACTCAGGACCTTGGACTTATGAGGCAAGTGGCACCACCGAGCTAAATCCCCAGCCCTGCACCTTGCATTATTATGAAGTAACAATTATTGATTATGAAAGAAAGAATTTGGGTTCCTCCTTTCCTTTTCCTCCCTTCCAACTAAAAGTCTTGAAGGAGAAAAAACCAGATTTCCATGATGATAAAATTTTTTTTTAAAGTTTAAAACATCCAACATAAATGCGTCAAAAAACTGAGATGATTTGATGACTAAAGGAATAGGTTACATATATGAAAAAGCAAATATAGCAAAATATTAGTTATAGAATTTAGGTGGTGGGAATGGGTGTCCATTGCATAATTATCTCAAGTTCTACAGATGTTTGAAATTTTCCAAAATACTGAAAGTGAAAGCAATGCATTTCCTTCACACCTGTGCACTTGTTTTTGGGCAGGTGTGTCAGTGCCCCTGCAGCTGGGCCTGCCTGATGCGGTACCCCCCCAGTATGGGGCACTGAGAGAGGTGAGCATCCACACCGTGCGGGCCCGACTCCGCCTGCTCTACCACTTCTCCGACCTCATGTACTCGTCCTGGAGGTTACTGAACCTCAGCCCCAACAACCAGGTAACACGCTGGATTGGTAAGCCACGCCCGTGGTGTGCTTGTCAGCTCCCAGGGCCTTTCTCTCAGCCTTTGGAAAATTCTATTGTGGCTAATAGTTCCTTTAGTCTTTGACCTGAGAGAAACAGAAAGGACAGCGATTCTAGTCCCATTTTAGTGTAGGGACAGTCCAGATATTAATAATCGTGTTGCTGGACAACGTAGCTTTCCTTTTGTGTTTTGATTTGTCCAAAACTTGAGGAAATATGAATGGCTAAGCATACCGTGTATTAGCTACAGCGTCTAGTACAGTATTAAAGCTTAAGTACATACAGCTAATAGGGTCAAGGTTGTTAATAAATCAGTCTTGAGAAATTTGGCAGACTACTTTCTCCTTACAAATGAGCATTCTGGGTGGTATGGAGGGGAGATGGGAGAAATAAAGTATTTGCTTACTATTTATTTGGGTGGTTTGCCTGAATTTATACAGCGTTCCAGTAATTTGGAAAGTAAATAAGTTTTCTTAAATTGGTTTAATATGTAGGCACATCTACCAAAATGTGTATCACTTTGTAAAACTGTTGGTCTGCAACCTTTGCATAGCCAGTGATGAATGGACAGATTTGACAAGTTGCTATTAGAAGGAGATAATCAGCCAGGCAGCAGAATACTGTGTAGCACTAAACCAAGGATTGGCAAACTGTAATTAGGTGGAGATATTTTATGACACAAAGTGAGAAAAGCAGCTGAAATTATATAAACAGTATGATCTCAACTATGTGAAAAGTATGCATGTATGCACATACAGAGAAAGTGGAAGGAAAGAGTCATTGGGCTGTCTCTAGATGGGAGGCTAATGATGATTTCATTTCTGTGTATGTTTCTATGCTTTGCTGTATTTTATAAGTTTTTAAAAATTGGTAGTCATTTATTTTATCAAAAGATATTTTGAAAAAGTTATTAGTAATAGTAATGAGTAATAGTCACCAACACCCAGATTTATGTTTTTAAATTGTACTTCAAAAAGAATTTGTGTTGTAAAAATGACAAGTGTTTTTTTAAGCCTTACATTATACTACTTTTGATGACCTTACCTTGTGTTACAGAACAGCACATCTCATTATAATGCTGGGACATGGGGCATTGTGCAGGGACAGCTGCGGCCTTTGTTAGCTCCAAGAGTCTACACTCTGCCAATGGTGCGCTCCATAGGAAAAACCATGGTTCAAGGCAAAAACTATGGACCTCAAATTACTGTAAAAAGAATATCAACCAGGTTGGCTTTGTGTGTGTGTGTGTGTGTGTGTGTGTGTGTGTGTGTGTGTG